AGGTCGTTTGGAATTGGCAGAGAAGGGCGGTATTTTACTCCAAAGCACTGTTTTCATTGGCTCTATGGAGGAGTAATGCTACTTGCGGCTGTTTTGTCTAAAGCCACGTCACTTTTTGCGCACTTTTGATTTTCTTATATTATGTCTCGTTTCCACAAAAATAAGACGAATTTTGCTGTTTTAGCAATTTCAGTTATTTCATCTAAAAGAAATTAGACGAATTTTGAAGGAAACTCGATTTCAAAAATTTGACACTTACTGCTCTCCTCGCCATCACGGCAGCATTTTTCAAGTAACTTTAGTCGTTGATTTAGAACTTAGTGGTTTACAGTAATTTTCCTCACAACTCACCGAATGTTTGCAGTCCAAATTTTGTTACACTTCACATTTGGACCATTTCGGGATTAGCTCCCACCATCAAGTGATTGAAATCGAAGAAACATATCTGGATGCAACTATTCGTGATCCAGGGCAGTGCGTGTTGCATATGTTTAGAGTTGAAGGCATTTCAACTTTTCTTGACATCGCAGCGAAACGAGGAGGCACTCGTTCCTCCTCGCTGTGCGTAACTGCATAACGTCTGGATGCAACTATTCGTGGTCCACGGTAGTGCGTGTTGCATATGTTTAGAACTGAAGGCAACAATCAGCCGGCTGGTATTTTTAAAATATTGAATTTAAAACAACGAGGTTTCTTTATCTTCTCACGTTTCCTTTCCAGTTTCCGTGCCGCAGCCCCGCTGTGTATGCTTTATGTATCGCTTTGTCTAACGCTTTGTATCGCTTGTCGCTTTGTTGTCGCTTGTCGCTTTGTTGTCACTTGTCGCTTTGTATAACGTCTGGATGCAACTATACGTGGTCCACGATAGTGCGTGTTGCATATGTTCAGAATTGAAGGCAACAATCGGCCGGCTGGTATTTTTAAAATATTGAATTTAAAACAACGAGGTTTAGTGGCCCACTTTATCTTCTCACGTTTCCTTTCCGGTTTCCGTTTTCGTGCCGCAACCCCGCTGTGTATGCTTTATCTATCGCTTTGTCTATCGACTTCAGTAATCAGCCGGCTGGTACTTTCAGAATATGTAACAAAAAACAAGGTTTAGTGACCCAATTCACCCGGTCACGTTTCCCTTTCCAGATTCCGTTTGCGTGGGGCAGCCCCGCTGCTCCACGAATCAAAGTTGAGAGACGGCTGCTCCGAAAGATTTCTTGCGTGTCGGTGGCGGTAATCCGGCTGAAAAAATCCCCGGTGTCCCGAGGGTCGTGTCCCGGAGTGAAAGGACCACTGACCTGTGACGTCACCCGTCTGAGCTCATCTCCGTAATACCCCCGCTCGGGCGAGAGGATCAGACACCTACGCTCCTACGCGCTCGGCATCTTCCGCCGTAACGCCGCCGCGCGCCGTGCTGAGGAAGAACGCCGTATGAACATTCCAGAGTTGCCAAATTTCCCTCGAAAAAACATGCATTTTCCACAGCATTCGTGCATATTTTTCCTCGAAATTTTCACGTGTTTTAGATTGAATTGCGCGCGCGTACAAAATGGACCACTAGACAAGGTACGAATTTCAGCATTTTGATACATGTCTCTTTACCAAAATTTTACGTAAAACACGATGCGCACAACGAAAATTACCGAAATTAACTCCTTCCGAAGATATTTAATGATTCTTGGTGCGTGAATTGAAACCACTCGCTCATGAAAACTCAATTCTCTACGTGATTCACATCGCGCGCTAAACGTTATCATGAGCGTCTCTGCGATAAAAAAATCTGGCAACCTCCATCTTGACACTTTGGCTCAGCTATAGCAAATTACTTATAGTTTGAAAAACACATGATGGGAAATGAACATCGCTCGATTGAAAGGCTTGCTGAAACCGTTGCAGTGCGCGATTTGACTCACGTAGAGCTTTGAGTTTCTTGTGAGCGGGCAGTTCAAATTCCTCGTGACCAATGTGTAATAAAAACTTTAATATCTTTGTTAAGAGTTGCTTTTAGTAATTTTCGTTGTTTAAATCGTGTTATACGGGAAATTCTGGTTAAGAAGCATGTATCAGAATGCTTAAATTCGCACCTTGTCTAGTGGTCCATTGTCTGAAAATTTTGGAAAATAATATTCGCAATCCCCCCGGTAAATTCGATTTTTAACGGAGGAAACTTGGCAACGTCTGAAGGCTCATACGACGTTCTTCTTTAGCACGGCAGAACGCGTCTCCAATAACGCCTTTTGATCAAGTGCACTACCGAGCCCCCCAGGAGGGGGACGGGGTGAGGGGGGTCTCCCTGGGGGGGATATTATCGCGCCTAGCCGGTGAATCCCCAAGCCCCTCCCCTCCCCGCACTAACCCCACCCCTGAAGCCCGTGCGTGCCCCTTCGCCCGATGTCGCCGTTCTGCCGTGCTAAGGAAAAACGCAGTATGAACATCAGAGAGTTGCCAAATTTCCCCGGATAAAACATGTATTTCTGAGGAAAGTCGAGAATATTTTTCCATTCAATTTTAAGATATTTTGGATTAAATCGCGAACAAAATTGTCCGGATAATTTGAAGAGAAGTATCCAAATTTTTCCAGTGAATCCGGTTTTTATTGATGGAAATTTAAACGGACGTTTAAAGTCTCATGCGGCGTTTTTCCTTAGCATTGCAGCGGTGCTCAAAAGACTTAAGTGACACGGGTTGAAATAAGAATGTTTATAGATGAGTGTTCTTCCGCAAAAATTAGTGGATTTTAGCAAGAACTCTGTCAAATACGTGCTTTTCAAATGAAAAGTAGTGACAATTGTAATTATAAACCATTCTGGATATATTTTGAGGTCATAGGTTGATTGCCCTCTTAGGCCTTAAAAGCTCCATGACCTTACCTCAAGGTGAAATGAGGCAACGTTGGACTGCTCATATGGTGTCGAAATACGACAATGGCCTTTTAACCTCCATTTTTCGATGCCGCGATTATCCTAACGCGAAATCGAATAATCGCACCGAACACGGTGCAGTCGATGTGAAACTCATATCAGAGCCTGCAAGACTGTAGGAATACTTTACGCATTCCGCCAAACAGTGCGGTCAGCGTCTAACGCACGTTAGCGCCTACAAGACTGCATGAATACTTCTCGCATTGCACGAAACGCAATGCAGGAGTTATTTGCGATAACTACTCGACCACGGGTGTAGGCACACTCCCGCTAACTGGGTTGAAGGCGCATCACATTGTGAAGATGGCTCGACACTCAACAGAGCTCCCTTTCCTGGCTTAAGCAACGCTAAATCGCCGCAAAACTAGGACCACGCTTCATTTCATCCGGTTTTGGCCACAATTAAAGAGTAAATAAGTATCTTAATTGCAACGATTCAGCAACTCGGACGATGTTTAAACGATTTAGGAATTCTGAAACTTGATTCTTGTAAAATTAATTTTTGTTTAAAAAAAAAAAAAACCGAACGAACGAAAATGTGGCGTCGAAATTTTTTGTGATTTTATTTCAAATCATTCTGGGGATTTCTCAAAAAATTCTACAAAAACTGCGATTTTCATTATTGTGAAATTCGTTAAAAATAAAAAATTAGTAGAGATTTGCAACGTTGCAATCGGAGATACACTTTTCCGGCTTGCAGGCGACGATTTTTGATTTAATTTACGGCAGGCGTAATGAGATAACTATTCGACCATGAGTGTAGGCATATTGCCGCTAGCCGAATGGAAGGCGCGTCACACTGCGAGGATGACTCCGCCGCGTTCCCTTCACTGAAAAAAAATTCTCGGCGTTTTTACCGAAGTCCGTTGGTACCTTTACTATCTCACTTTTTTTACCAATTATTGGTAATTTTACCAAGACAGACTGGTAAGCTTACCTAAAAACCGGTATTTTTACTGTTTTTTTTCAGGTAAGAATACCACTTTTATTGGTAATCGATTCCCGGTAACTTTGCCATTTTATCTCGGTAAATCTATCACATTCGATAAAAATTATTGGCGTTTTTACCAAGGTCCAGTAAAATTACCGAGAAAGCTCAATAATTTTACCGATATTTCTCGGTAAAATTACCAATTCCATAAATGGTAATTTTATCAAGAAAAAACTGGGATCAAATAGAACCCTGAATTCTTGGTAATTTTACCCTTTTCTTAGTAAATACACCGAGATTTTTTTTCAGTGTTCCCTGGCTCGCGCGACGCGACGCTGAAGCCACCGTTAAACTAGGATTACGTGTCATCATTCTTGCCTCTCTGCTCCGGTTTTTACCAGAAGTAAAGGGGAAATACGTGTCCTCGTTGTAACGGTTCAGGAACTCGGAGGATATTTAATTTTTTTGTTTTGTTATATAAAAAGAAAATAGAAAGAAGGAAAATATCGCGTCGAAATTTTCGATGCTTACATTTGAGATCATTTAGGCAAATTCGTGGGAGAACTGTGTGTAGCTTTTTTAAAAACGGTGCACAAAAATGAAACATAAAAATTGGTACACAACGTTGCAATCAGAGACGAATATGCTTTCTTTCGCATGCCCGTCGGCTTTTGAATCCATTCATCTTTTAAATAACTTAAACGTGGTTGTTCTACTTTTTTTTACGTGCAGCTTTTCTCAGTGGTTGACGGCCGCGTAGCGGCCACAGACTTCTAGTGTTACATATTCACGTAACAATATCTTGAAATTTCTAATGAACTTTTTGGTTTTCAACTATAACAACAACGTTGCAAAATCTCCGATTAAACTTGAGGAAAGAAATTTGGGAAATCTGGGATACGTATTTTTCGACTAGCCATCTTTACACCCGTCCACACGAGGAAAAAGTAATCTTCGTTCTTACAATACTTATTATGAATTCTGGGTCCTATCTACTTTCGTCATCGTACTTACTACAATTACCGCTTTTGCAGTAAAAATTATTTCAATCCCAGTAACAATAATGCTGTCTTGATTAGTATTGTTACCGGGACCGAAAAAATTGTTACGAATAAAGAAAAAATTTTAACATGCATTTTGGTTAATCAAAATTTCAGGGAAACTTTCAGGTCAGCAGCTCTGATTTTGGCCCGGGGTGGCAGCAAGGGAATCAAGAAGAAAAACCTATCTGTGGTCAACGGAAAAACGCTTATCAAGAGAGCCGTCGAAAATATCCTCGAATCCGATGGTGAGAGAAGACACACATTATTTCATGTACCTGATATTTTAATTATTCCCTCATGCGTAGAGGTGAAATTATTTAACATTTTAAAATAGAAGACAGAGCTAGATTGATTATATTCCTGAAAGCCCTTGAGTGCAGAATACTTTTGAGCCCCCATTTTCTTCGTCTATCATGACTCCCAATGATCATGAACTTTTAAGTCGTGCCCCTTCAAAAAAATTGATGGCGCTTGAATGAAACTATTCGTGGTCAAGGACAACGCGTACTGCAGATGTCAACGATTGAAGGAGTTTTAACTTGCGTTTTGCGTTACAGTTGCACTTGCGGGCAGGCAGACACGGACGCGCGGGAGGTATGTGCATTACGTCTGGATGCAACTATTCTTGATCCACGGAACTGCGTGTTGCATACGTTTAAAATTGAAGGAATTCGACAGAAAATCTGCAACGTCGCAAACCGAGATACGTGGTATGGGAGCTTCCTGAGAAAAGGAGCTGCCTGAAGGACCAGAACCTCTTCAAGCATGGGTCAGTCGCGCTAGTCACGGAATCGTGTTTTGATGCTGGATTTTTGTGGATTAGCCAAAAGTAAAGAGCTCTCCAAACACCAACTTTCTACGTTTTATATTAACCGAGATATCGCACTTTGAAAAACTCTATTTATGGCGTCATCCATCTCGGATGTGCGTGCGGGTGGTTTCACGATAACTGGAAAAGTTTTGTCGCCGTAACAGACAACACATTTTTCGGTCATATTTTTAGTAGAAATGATAATCACTCGAATTTTTCTGCATTACTCTTCAAAGGGTTGTGCATTATAACGCTCTCTAATGATTTATTGCCCTACTTCTCAATTAATATTATGTAAATTCCGAAAATGTTCTGTCTGTTATGAGGTAAAAAGTCAATGTAACAGACAGCACATTTTCGGCCATTTATATATTAAAATTGAAAAGTAGAGCGATAAATCTTTGAAATGCGTTATGACACATAAAAAAATTTCGAGTGATTATCATTACCACTAAAAATATGACCGAAAAATGTGTTGACTGTTACGGCGACAAAACTATTCCGGTTATCGTGAAACCACCCATACCATGGTTCTTTCCACTTCAGTTTTATCCGTGTTTTATATCAAGGAGTCGGTGCTAACATGTGTATCACTGTTTGATTAAATCAAAGTGGTATGCAACTACCGCGGTGGATGACGTCATATACCGAATTTTCAAAGCGCGATTCATATTGAGCTTAAAAATGTGCTGTTTGGACGGATCTTATTGTTTTTAGCTAACCAGCAAGAATCAAGCATCAAAACACGATTCTGTGACCAACGCAATCCGCCTATTGTTTGAGGGACGATCATGAATACTGCCATACTTGGGAAAAACACCGTATGAGCCTTTAAACGTTGCCAAATTTCCATCAATAAAAACCGGATTCACTGGAAAAATTTTGAATATTTCTCTTCAAATTTTCCAGACAATTTTGTTCGCAATTTAATCCAAAATATCTGAAAATTTCATGGAAAAATATGCATAACTTTCCTCAGAAATACATTTTTTATCCAGGGAAATTTGGCAACTCTTGAATGCTGTCGTGCCAAGGAAGAATGCCGTATAAACATTCGAGAGTTGCCAAATTGCCCTTGATAAATCATGTATTTTTGACGACATTCTTGGATAATTTTCCTTGGTCTGAAAATTTTGGGTGTAAGAATAATCCTAATTTTCCCAATAAATTCGGTTTTTATCGAAGGAAACTCGGCAACGTCTGAAGCCCCATACGCCGTTCTTCTTCAACACGGTAGGATACGGCTCGCATGCTTCTGCAAACGGTGTTAAAAAAGATGATCGAGGCTCTGCCGGCAGCTTCCCGCCTTCATATTCACTAAATACCACCACTCCAACACCCGAGCCCCACCGGTTGCTGGCGGGGGAGGGCGGGCGCTATGACTTGATTAGCCGGCGAAATTAATTCGCTCTATTCAAAGCGGACGTTGATCGAGCCTCGCCGCGCGGCGATGTAATCGCCGAGTGTGAATTTATGGTTCGGTTTACACAAATCGCTTTGTCTTTTATGGCCGCCCACGCTTCCGCCCCCCCTCCCCCCCCCCCCCCCCCCCGGGTTCGTCATCACTATTAGACTAAGTTCGTCGCTCGTTTTTTATCCCTTATCGTCTTGTTACCGCCTCTATCCACTATTTATCACTAACTCTTTGGGCGCCTTGTTACGGAGCCTGGAATTTCGCGTTATCTTTGAGAGAGGAGAAGCGTGGGGAGGTTTAAGGTCGGTGCTTGAGTTGATGCTCTAGTAAGATACCGACATGGAAAAAAATTCAGCTTCAGTGAACGAGATTATAGGTCGCATGCGGAGCTCACGGGAAAAATGATATTGCTAATTTAACAATTTTGTAGTTACACGGAATACATTGAATTGCTGATTTAACAATTCAGTTGCTAAAAAAAAGAGTCTGCAATGTTTCAATGTAGATTTTGCAACAACAAAAAAATGCTACTTTAAACACCCCCGTGGTTAAGTTAGCTCAGGATAGTCATTAAAATAGCATTTTTTTGTTGTAAAATCTACGTTGGAACATAGCAGTCAATTTTTTTTTAGCAATTGGATTGTTAAATCAGCAATTTAACTTTTTCCGTGTAGGAAAAGTGTCCGACGTGTTTCAATGTAGATTTAACGATAAAAAATCGATAGCTGAATTGAATGCGAGGTTTTTTCCTAACACTGTTCTGCTTTCATTTCTCTGACTTTTGCCGATTTTTGGGTTTAGAATGATTCTTTTTAGGCTCCTGCGCAGGGGCTATCGTCCTTTTTTTTTACTAAGAATTAAAAATCTGCTGAGATGTTTTACCTAATTGATGCGAAATATCGCATGCCAGTTCGACCACTTCTCTTGAGCTTGACGAATCACCTTAAGTCTATATCTGAATAATTTTTTATTCTCAGTTTTTGATTCGGTGTGGGTTTCGACGGATGACATGGAGATCGCGATGGAGGCGCAGAAAGCGACTGCCCTCCTCCACTGGCGCCACCCCTCCACGGCCACCGATTCTGCCGCCTCCATCCTCGGCGTCCAGGACTTCTTCGCAAAGCATCCAGGTCAGGAATCACTTGGACTCCATTTTGCAATTTCATGGAACTATAAATTGTGGCTCTTCTGGAAAAACACTTATGTGCATAGGAAAACTAACGGGACATACGTTGTTTTTAAACCGGGCTAGAATTTATAGTTCCAAATTGCAAAATGTAGTCCACTTGAAATTATCAAATAATTATTAGGAAATTCAGCGGAAACATCATCGAGCTTTAAAAGTTCTATGGAGTTTCCGCTGAATTTCTGAAATATCCAATATATAGAAGTAAAAAAATGAGAATATATAAGATTTATAGTTGCTTTTATACTAAAAATACCCACGATATTTTTGCATGTGTGACTACCAAAAGTTCACGTAAAATCGCCAGTACGAGGATCGATAATTTTAGCATCATTCCTTTAAAAATTATAGGTAAAATTTAAAAATCAGAGCAATCTACCATAAGAATTTATTTAAATTCCATCTAATTAGGTACCAGCAGTTGCGGTTAAACCTAAAACTAACCCAACTACATATCTAGATAAATTATATTGATTAAAAAGATATTAACAAAGCAAAACAAATTGTAAATAAGAAAAATTTTTAAAATTTGAAAAGATCTGAAAGATCTACAAGGTATGCAACAAAGCACTATACGTGCATCTTTTCTCTTCAAAATTCTATTAGGGAAACGAATCACATAACACTCACAATGCTCCCCTCTACGCTGCCCAAAGAACGCGCGTTGATGACGGCGCAGTGATACGACTATTCGTGTTTGATGGATGTCCGTGTTGCATCTGCAGAATTGAAGGCGCGATAGCGCGAGGCGTCAACTCGCAATGCGCCGCTCTAAGCTGCCAATGAAGTATCGTTCAGATCCGGGAGTGAAGTTAAAAAACAAGGCCTGACTGCATCTCCTTTTGGGAGCTTATCGATAGACAAAGTGTGGAACCATGTATCGAAATGTCCGCTCCTACTTTTTTCCTTCCTTTCTTTTTTTTTTTTTCGCCGGAAGAGGAGCGAACTAACTGAGTAACTTAAAAATACACAATAGCGATGGTGAAAATGCAAATTGCGTATCTCGGAAAACACGATTTTTTAAGAGAGTAAAAAAAACTGCCTACATTCCTCCGTTTTCCGGTTTTTCGAGGAAAAAATAAGGTATAACAGGTAGTTTGCAACGTCTCAAACGAAGATACGTGGATGTTCCAGCAGCCATCGATATTGCGTGATGTTAATTCGACGTATATGTACCAACTGGTACCATATACGAATGCAGTAGGTACATCAAAAGTGATTTCTTAATTTTTCATTCAATCATTGAAGTTATGCCGTGATTTCTCACAGATTTGGAGGTGATCGGCTTGATCCAGTGCACATCCCCATTCCTAACGTCACAATTTCTCATCAAGGCTCTTCGGCTAATCGAAGAGGCTCATTGTGACTCTGTCTTCTCAGTTACGAGATCGCATCAGCTTCGCTGGAACTTGGACCAAAGTTAGTAGGAAACCATTCGACATATGAACTCTTCGGAACTCTAAATTCTGGCTTTTCTAGAAAAACACTCATGTGCATAGCGGAACTAATGGCACATATTATGTTGTATTTAAACCGGGCTAGAATTTATAGTTCCAAATTGCAAAATGTAGTCCATATCTTCATGGGTCCTCCTGGAGGAAAACCTACCTGCCCAGAAGGAGATTTTGGACTTAATATGGTCGTATGAAGGCTAGGTTTGGGGTGGTTCAATACTCCAGGTTGATTCTTGAATTGGTGGACAAAGCTGTAGACAAAGATAAAATAAAGCGATCCCCTTCTGCCGTGCTAAATAAGAACGCCGTATGAACATTCGAGAGTTTCCAAATTTCCTTCGTTAAAATGTTTATTTTTGCGGAGGGGAATAAATATTTGTCCTTGAAATTTTCTGGAACTTCAGGTAAAATTGCGAACAAAATCATCTGAACAATTGGAAGGAAAATATTCATAAGTTTACCAGGAAATTCGAATTTTATTAGAGGAAAGGCGACGCTCGAAGGTTCATACGGCGTTTTTCCTTAGCACGACATAATTCGTGGAAGCGGGTGGTTGAAAAGAACAAAGATAGACTAACTAACAACAACGCACGAGAGACCCCATAGTTAGTTCATAATTTTCCCTTTAGTCCACAACAACCATCCGTTTCGACCAATAGGATCGCTCCATTTCCCCTCGTTTTCTTTGTCTATCGCTTTGCACATCAATTTCAAAAATCAGCCCACAGGGACGTTTAAAGGAGACATCAGAATAGACACTGAGGAGACATAGCAGAGTCTCCGCAACATTATTAATAGGACAAATTTAAACTAAGCTTTGTTGTAAGCTCAACTAGCTGTACAATCTTCCCCGTCTTAAGTTTGAAGTTGTGGGAAAATTATTTGAATGTAGAAATAGAAGTAGAACTTTATCTCCAATTTAAGTAAGTCTTACCGAGAAACACGACATCGAACCTCTTTTACACAGTTCGATTTTGATACGATTGGATTCCTCATTGTATTTTGCCTGCAATTTTTAAGATTATCCAATCCAAAAAACACTACCCATGCTGCAATAACTATGTATCTAAAGGTTTTTTCCTTGAGTCTTGTCTACAAATCCTGCCTCTCGGAGGATTGTGTCAAACTTCAGCATCTGTTCACTATTGACGCTGACATCGATTTTAGTTTTTATTTTAGATTGTATGTTTTTCAGGAATATATTTCTCGTAAACAAACATTCCTCCTCGTTATTTTTTTTATTTTTTTGAATAAGGGGGAGATCTGCATGCAGCTAACTTTGATGCAACTAAACGACCCAGGAGACAAGACTGGAATGGGGAGTTCGTAGAGAACGGCATGTTCTATGTTTTTAAGACTTCCTTACTTGCTGAGAATGTTCTTCAAGGAGGCCGGTAGGTACCGAGACAAAATCTCCTTCTCGTTTCAAATGCATGCTAGAGGTTTACTCGTGGATGCATCGGAGTGCCGTGAATAAATACAATTTTGGAATTGATTCATTTTAAATTTCAATAAATAGAGTGCCTGATGAACGCATTTATGTGTAAATTTAAGGATAAGTTTGAAAACTTCATTATAATTAATTGTTACATCTATTTATAATTTTGAAATTTTAAAAGTTTTACGCAACTTAAAACTTTAATAAAACAAAAATGACAATCAATAAACTATAAACAAAATAAATTTTACTACATTAAACTGAAAGAGTTCATTCCAATGCCACTTAAATCAATCACCAAAAATTATTATAACAAAAAAGATTATCTGTGAATAAAAATAAACTGAAAGCAAAGAGACCAAACTCATTGATCTAATCAAAAACGGTGCATTAGGTAGCGATCCTACGCACAATCCTATTGGCTAACATTCAGCTCAATTAATTTTTCAATTACCCCCAAATAAAAATAATCATAATGAGTAAATGTAACATGAATAAGCATAGGAAGGCATGGAACACACGTGGATCACTCGAACTCACCTCACAGCGTGTCTCTTATTCCGTCAAGTTCGCCTTCAATAACCGTGGCGGCAATATAAGAGGCTTGAGAGCACGAATAGTTGCGCGTAGTAGTTTTGTCACTTTCGCTCCGCCCCGGCAAGGAGTAAAAGTTACTCTCCTCATTGCGTTTCTTTCATTCTTACTTATGGCATCAGTTTATTTTTATCAAACTGATCAGATCTTTTTTTTCTATTGACTCTTTTTGGTTTGTTTGTTTTTTTCCATATTGGAGGGCTCGAGTGGTGGAAATACCGAAAAACCGCAGTCTGGAGATCGATACTGAATTCGATTTGGTGGTGGCCAAAGTCGTGGCGCAAATTCTTGATTCGGAAAGCCAACAGATGATTCCTTAAAGTCTTGGAAGCATTTTCAATGAGCCAATGAATCTCAAAATCAAGCATCTTAATGTGCGGATCTTCATCACAAGTTTACTTGAAACACAGAACATTATACGACTATTAATTATTGACAGGTTGTTTCCCTAGGAGACTTCAATGCAGAGTAGAAAAATAGGAGTATGGATTTTCTCTTCTTGTTGTGCGTATTGATCCGCAGGGTCTGTTTTAAAACACTGGACAAATTCAGCCGAAGGAGCACTCCGATAAGAACAATAGCGTGGCGTTCCTTTCTTTGCGATGTATCGATTTATCTATACTATTTGAATCTATGGAAAATTCTCGATAAACAAGGTGTTTGCGACGAACGCCTTAATAATCGATTCTTTACCACAGCTTCAAATGGGGATATCGATAATCGATTATTCACGCCTCGCCGCTCGATACTGAGCCGTTGCGCCACACGAGCACGATTAGACCGGTGATGAGCCTTCATTTTTTTCCGTATACAACACGGACAACTCGTCACCTTCCGGCCAAAGTATCACAAACGCCATGCTATGTTTAAACATTTCCGCCGTCATTTGATTTTGCACTGAGAAATTCTTGGTTGAATATGTTTGAAAATTTCACTGAATTTCATCGGCAGCTCAAAGAAAATTCAGTGAAATTTTCAGGCAGCTTCGTTTAACAATTCCTCTCTATAAAAACATAAAATGGCGACGGATAGTCTTAAACGTCGCATAGGGCTTGTGATACTTTGGCCGGAACGTGACGAACTACTAAGCAGCGGGCCGATTATTGAAAGCGTTGGACAAATCGATAGACGAAGAAGACATGTAAGGATTATGGAGTGATCCTATTGGTTGTCATGGTTGGTTCTTATAGACTAAGGAAGAAAAATCTGGACGAACTGTCGGGTCTTTAGAGGGTTGACGTTAGTTAGTCTATTACCTACCTCCTTTGTCCATTGCCACCACCTGCTTCCACCAATAGGATCCCTCTAAATCCTTTTGTCGTCTTTGTCTATAGCTTTGTCTATCGGTTTCAATAATCGGCCCGTAGGAATAGCTGCATTATGAACAAATTGATAGAGTCGACTCTCATCTCTTGTATGTCAATGCTAGCAGCGATCATTAAAGTAAGCTTAAAAGTTGATTTTTTGTTTCTTTTTATTTGAGGTTTGTTTTGATTCATTGTGTGCATTATTTTATTCTTACGGCCCCTGGTAAAAATTGGTAGTAGAATCTGTGTTCCAAAATACCATAGATCTGCGGCCGGCTGTAAGATTTCCAATAGCTTCTATAGCCGGCTACACAATTTATTATGGCCTTTTATAGCCGATGGCGATTAAGCAACTCACAGCCGGCGATGAAGTGTATGCTAAGCGTCACTAATTACGGATGCTAGGACTTAGTGAGTTTTTGGACCACTGCTCTCTTTTTGGGCCTTAGTATCTTGATTTATTTTGCGAGGAAAGCTCCGTACTTTTGATGGATGCCTGCCATTCCTAATATATAAGAGCGTCTTCAGTTTCGTATGATACTGTGCAATACCTCTGGTGTGAAATAGTTGCTTCAAGCGCCGCGCCGTGGCACGCTGCGGTGCGGCAGGCGGGCAGCCAGCGCGGAACGCGCATTGGCGCCTTCAAACCTAACAGGGATACTTCACGCGTTGCGCAATGCGTGAAGTGTCCCTGTTAGGTTTGCAGGCGCCAGTGCGTCGCCGCTTCGCTTTGTGTTAGGCTCTAATATTTAATCTGGCGGAGTCAGCGTCATTCAACTCATGATTTTGAAATGTTTGCACATCCTGTATGGATTATTCTCGTTTTAATTAATGAAAAAAAAAATATATAGGAAAATATAACGTGTGTTTTTTAAATATTAAGGAGGTTTCGTATCAAACTTAATGATTTCCAAAGCACACAAATGGCTATAGAAACTATAGCCCGGCTGCATAATTTTTTATCGCTCCGTATAGCCCGGCCGTATGATTTTCTCCGCATTCTACAGCCAGCTATATGTATGATTTTCTGTAGCCTTCTTTAGCCGGCTATAAGAATTCCTATGGTATTTTGAAACGCAGCTCTTATCGCCAATTTTTACCAGGGGCGGCAATCCTGTTTACAAGATATTCGCATTTTTCTGTTCCAAGAATCGATCCATTTTCATCATGATGAAAAATCGACCAGCACCAAAATTTTGATAGTAGGAGAGATTGGCCTCTAAGCGTTAGAAGAAGGAATTTCCAGTTCCTGGACTAGATCCTCTGATTTCTTCTATACTTTCCGGGAATTTTTCATTCCATGATAAATCCCGCATGGAGCTACTTTGTATGGATGCACTTAGAATAATTATTTATCGAAATGTAAGTGTGGGCAGGTAAAAAGAGCAGAGACAATTAAGAATTAGATTGAGTGTCTTTAATTAAAATGCTACATCTGAGCTGTCTAGCCTGATGACAAATATACAATTTTATGAGACAAGCAGTTATAGTAGGATTGCAAAAACTTCCAAAATAGTAGTGAATAAAAAGACAACTTCAGTGTTTGAATTCCAATCACTGATCACAGTTATTATTTTCTGAGTACAAAGAGAGACAGTCAAATTGTTCTTTGAACAGAAGAATGAGGATTAGTACATGTCGACAATGAAACTGCCAAACCGAGTATTTCGTTTGCAGAGTTTCAAAATCTCTGCTCCCATTTTGATTTTTTGAGGGAGAAAAAATCAATATCATTTCTTGAAGGTTTCACGGATAGTTTTATTCGGACAGGGAAGAAAAATCACGGAAGTTTTTAAGAATTGAAGTGGGGTAATTTTCCGTTTGAAAAATAAAGTATAGCAGGAAGTCTGCAACGCTGCAAACAGCAATACGTGGTCTGGTATAGTTTTAACGTCGCTATTATTCTTCCGTACTAAAAACAGTCCCTTAATTATCATTTTCTTGGACCATTTTGCAGGATCTGACAAAAAATCTGGAGGGGGAGTTTCCTTATTTTTTATCACACCAAATGTGTCCACGCACGCTACTTAGAAAAATGAGTTTTTCGTTTCTTCCTGGGAAATGTATCGTGGATACCTACTAGGTATTTTCGTGGTATCTAGGAGACTAATCCAATGTTTAAAAATTTCGTGGAAACTCATGACATAAATGAACTTAAAATTCAAAAATAGGGCAAAAAATGAGCTTCTGAATCTAATAAAATACTGGTTGTGTCAAAAATCGATTAACGACTTCATTTACCTACGATACCCTTCTCTTCTTCCAGAAACTTTGTTCGATTGAATAGGAAATAGAAAAAAGTGAAAAATCATGAGATTAGTTTGCATCTATGATTGAGCTTCATTTTGCAATAAGGAACTTCTATTTCCGGCTTATCCACAAAAGTACCGATCTGCAGAGGGCGAAGACACATGGATTCACGGGGATTTTAAGGGGAACGGATTGTTGGACCTGTGGGCCGATTGTTGAAAATGATAAACAAAGCGATAGACAAAGAGGACATAATGAATATAGATCGATCCTATTGTTTAATATGAGTGGTTCTTATGGACCAAGGGGGTAATGATGGACTAACTAAAAGGTCTCTCGTGAGTTGCCGTTAGTTAGTCTATTACCTACCTCTTTTGTTTATTTCAATCACCGGCTTCCACCAATAGGATCCCTCCATGTCTCTTTTGTCTATAGCTTTGTCTATAAATTTCAATAATCAGCCCGCTGTTCGCCCGACAAAACAGAGGAAGAAAAAGAGAGGAAAGAGAGAAGGTAGTAGAGGTAATCTACCGTGCTAAGGAAAAACGCCATATGAACATTCGAGAATTGCCAAATTTCCTTTGATAAAATGTTTATTTTTGAGGAAAACTATCAATATTTCTCCTTGAAATTTTCAGGACGAACAAAATACGAACAAAATTCTCTGAAAAATTGGAAGAAAAATATTCACAAATTTACCAGGGAATTTGTGTTTTATCAAAGACAATTTGGCAACGCCTAAAGGTTCATACGGCGTTTTTCCTTAGCACGACAGTAATAATGTACAAAGAACGGGGGAAAGCGGGAGGGAGGACCCTCCGATTTGCTAATTATTCATGACGAAATCGACTGAAACTGCAAACTAGATGCTTTATGATTTCAAAAAGAGCCGTATGCAAAAACGACATTTCCCCCCCCCCCACTAAAACTTATTCAAACTTCGTCTATCAGTTACTAATACTGGAGCGCTTCTTTCCCCAAATTTTCAGACCCCCAAAAAATTTTGGGGAGGCGCTAGGGGGGGGGGCGGAAGTCAAAACCTGTGACCCTCGATATCTTTCGAACGAAACAAGATATTGAGGCCCGGTTTGGACGAAAAATCGTCTAAAATTGCATATTTTAAGATTCTAAAGGTCAAAATCCCAAAATTAAATTTTTAACTTAACTTATGTGCTTTTTTTCAGTTTTTCCTCAAAAACTTTCCCCCCTTCCATCCCTCCCGTTTGAAGTGTCTGAATCAGCCTATGAGAGGGCAACATGGCACTTCTGTTGTTCCTAAAATGAGGCGGAAGTAGTAGTTCCTTACTGTCGTGCTAAGGAATCACGCCGTATGAGCCTTCAGGCGTTGCCAAATTTCCTGAGAAAAATCGCTAATTTTCAGGAAAATTTGTGAATATTTTTCTTCCAATTTCTCTGACAATTTTGTTTGTAATTTGATCTAAAGTGTCTGAAAACTCTAAGGAAAAATATTAATAACTTTCCTCAAAAATAAACATTTTATCGGAAGAAATTTGGCAACTCTCGAATGTTGAAACGGCGTTTTTCCTTAGCACGGCAGCTTATTGCAAATGTCACTGTCCTCTTGTACATCGTGCCATGGTTAAGGCATGCTTTTTTGCTGTCCACACATTTTCAGAGACAATTTTGGCATCTTAATACAAAATTAGAATTGATTTTTACACTTGGAGTAGCAAGTTTGCAAAAAATAATTAGCAGCATTTATTTTAAATTCTTGAACGAAGAGGAATGTTTTTGAAATTGTTGTAAACGAAGACCTTTCGACATTATACTACTAAAAATAATGAATGCATCTATCAAACTCTCTGACTTTCCTTGCTCTCTGAGCTGAGAGGCCGTCTTCTGTGCAAAAATTAACTCAAAACTGACGGTGTTTGACAGCGATACATGAGTAAGGTCAAGATAGCGGCAACTCATACAAATTGCAAGCATATCTTTGTTTTGGGTTCCATAGAAGCATGCAAGGGCAAAAAACAAGGAGATCTCAATTAATGCATTCACTCCAATACCAAAAATCTATCTGGGGAAGAAATCTGGATGGAGGTATGTTAGATTCCTGAAAAAGGGGCTAAAACACCTCATTGTATGTGTTTAAAATTTGTGAAGAAAAAAAGCGATGAAGGACGGCAAAAAGGAATATTGCACAATAATTTCACTTGGTAGCTAAGAAATTCCTCGCAAATATCCATGTTCAGCCTTCCTCCAAATATAGACAGTGAAACAACCAGTGGGGCGATTATTGAAATGATATCGACACGACAAAGCGGCAACAAAGAGTCGATATCATTTCAATAATCGCCCTGCTGATAGCGTATCTCATTTGCAAAGTTTAGTGTCTCTGTTCCCCTTTTTATTTTTTTGAAGGAGAACAAATCAATGCCATTCCTTGAAGTTTTTTACAGAGTTTTTTTTGGACAGAGAAAAAAAATCACGGATATTTATAAGAATTGATGTTGAGTGGTTTTCCGTTTAAAAAATTGAGTACGGCAGGGAGTCTGCAACATCGCAAACTGAGATATGTGGTCTGGTAAATTCACCGTCAATATGTTTTGATCAAGTCGGTTTCTGGAAGAGAGGCGTATATATTAAAAAACATTGAATAAAAAATCCTTGAACTCTGTTTTAGGGGGAAAATTTGTGGATTTTTTGCTAGCGATATTTCCTGACTTGAAATCTACCGACAGTTTCATGAAACCTGTTTAATTAGGGAAGTTCCTCCTTTGGTAAGGATGGTTAAACATATATGGTTAAACCTGACCAGTGCAATACTTCTAATAATTGAAAAGACCAGTTGTTTTTTGTGCATACATTCTTCTTCCAAAAATTTCACCTTTTTTGCAGTATAATATTCATACTATGATTGTCAAAAAAAAACCATACAAGCTAAAAAAAACTGAAACAGGGTGAAAAATTCTTTCTTGTCTAAAATAGTAAAACTAGCTTGTTTGAAATACTGAGATAGCTGTCATCTCGTCTGCATTTCAGAGAGATGACTTTACTTCAAACTTGCTTGTGCGATTTGACACTTGTTCTGGTGAAGTAAAATCTAAAAAATTAAACTCCAATGTGCAATGGAGATGATACCCGATCAATAGATCTTATAAATTTGTGGCTTTCACAAAATATACTACTATCTATTATGGTGATATTTAGAGTCTTGCTGCAATAGACTAGACATTTTTCTGCAACTCTGCAGAGCAACTTTCATTTTCAAATTAAAACAAAATTAGCAAGATAAAATTAAGACAAAAAGGATTGTATTCTAACATAATTGGCAGTTGGTTACGTATTTCCTTTCAAAAGAAGCATGTAATTCATTCCAAGTAGCTGCAGACAGCATCGAAAATGGAACATTCTTTTCCATTAATGAGACGGGACCCTTCATTTTAGAGGGTATTTTTAGTTAAAGGCAAAATTTTGGAGTTAAAATTGATTTCCAATTTTTTGTCATGACTTTCCCCGAGTCCAAGCCAAATAAGTTTTCACACTTTTAGACTGTAACAAAACATCCTGTGACGTCAGTTTAGCATGTATAGTGAATGCAAGAATGAAGATGGCAAATCTCCTGACACAGACTAGAAGGACAATAACGTACTTGGAGAGGACTATAAAATCATTTGATTGAAACTCCTCTCACCGAATATGCTTCAATATCTGGGGAAAACCATTGCAAAATCTCGAGGCTGGGGGTTCACTTGGAATGAAAAGCACACGTCAAACAGAGTGTTAACAAAATATTTCCTAATGATAAATATTATCTGACATAAGGCAAACTACAAAACAAAAAACAAAAATAATGTGTCAACCAGCAATAAGGATGCGGTCATCATTCAAATGCCTACAGGTATACATTCAGGACCAACGAGTTTGTGCGGGTGCGTTGGTTGGTTAAAAAAATCGACTGGATTGGAGAAAAAAAGATGTTTTTTCTATTGCGTTGAGGCTAGCTAGAAGTCGTTTAGGAGGGTGTGGTACGTCCATGCTTCGGTGGGTCACTTGAGAAAAGAGGGCACAAACATAAATCAATTAATACATAATTAAATAAAAAAAAGACCTGAATTGCCACTAGTGGCGTACATTTTCACTTTGATGATTTCTTTTCGCAATAAATTTCTTTCAACTTCTTTTTATATCCAATCCATTAGATTTTGCATTGACTTGTTTGTTAAATCTATGACTACTTTGAGCAAGGAATGATCTAACGAATTGTTCTCTTTAGAAATGCCATGGAATCCAGTTAATTTTAACAGGAAGCATGCACAGCGATTCTGATATTTTTTCCGAACAAAACTGGATTAAAATACATAGCTTAAAAATTCCAAATAAAAGTTTGACTGAATCTACGCTTCGGATGTACGTCTTTATTTTATCAACTTTCAAAAAATAATAAACAGATATCAAGTTGCTGATTTTCGGCTATAAGAAATTGTGACAACCAGGTAATTCTTCAATAGTCACAAGGACAAAAAAAAAAAAAGGTTTAGCACCTAAATTTAATTTTTCAATTTCAAACCAAATTTCATAAATATCAAAGAGAAATTGAAGGTATTGACCAGCTTGGCATAAAATCTTTGTTCCAAGTCGGTGACAAAAGTGAGCCTAGTAAACTCTGCATCTTGCCTACAGTGTTTAAATTTTCTGCTCCTACTTCATTTGTCAAGGGGGAAAAAAGCAGGGAAAATTGATCATTTTGCATGACATTTTAAGAGAATGGTCACTTTTAAATGGTCAGTATGATTCAAAAAAATTATGCGAGATTCATGAAATAAAAATAGTTGGTCTTGGATTATTACGATAAAAATGAAAAGAGGTCTATGACTTGGTGAGTAAAGGTGTAGAGTTTGATGGTTTTACCATGTTTTGAAATGTTGAAATCGATCATTAAAATATTAGGATGAATAAAATATCAAAACCGAGAGAGCGATCTTTTCGCCACACTTAAAAACGTCAAAATTTTAATTAAAATCTTTACACTTTGAGAAAAGTGATTTCCGAGGTGGTTTGAACATTCCTGCTCATAAAATTCAAAAAATAGTTCTACCTAGTGAAAAAATTAAGAGGATAGCCGCTAGACTCAACAATGAATGAGTATGACAGAATAATGACCATAATTATAGGTGGTTAAAAATTATCATAGTATTAGCATAATAGTACGTGGTAATGGTACACTACCTAGATAATTGGAATGTGACAGATTGATTGGTAAGTCTCTTGCTACCAACAAAATTTGCAAAAATCAAAAAAGACCTAATTGAGTTAAAGATCTGTATGTACATTGCATTACATATACTATATAAATAGTACGAGTAGAAATCTTATTTCAATATATTACAATACTGTAGTACTTGTGTACATTGATTTATATACAAACATACGCAATACGTAGCAGTGTGCTGAGGAAGAGCTGTGATTTTGGTAAGTTCAACTATACGTACAAAGACAACTAGATTCTGCGGAGCTCTGAAAACACTTATGTTTCTCAATTGTAGAGTTTCAACAATTCCAACCCTAAATTCTTTGCTATGAGAAAACTAAAAACTTTTTATTCTTGACATTTTTAGAAAATGTTCTTCATATCTATAAGCGAATTTTAAAAAGTTCACAAAAAATAATATTGCGTTAATAAAAACAAAAAGGATGAATGAAGTGGGGAATTTTTAACAACAAAAGCTGAATAATGAGTTTTCGGACATTTGGGACCGAAATGAATTTAAAATATTTCTGCTCTTAAATCCTAAAGATTTTGCCAAATAGACTGATCATCTTTCAAGGAGAGATACTGTCAACTGGATTCTTTTATTCATTTTTGATGCAAAAATAAAATCGAGAGGTCTTAAACACCTAGAAAGTTGACCGAATAATTTAGGTAAAACTCTGCCTATTTTTTAAAAGGTTTCTTAGGTTTCCTATTCGATTTGAGATTGAGACTCAACAATCGGCAAGAAATTATTTTCACTCAGTGCAGACCTTATGGTGTCAGAAAATGCTAAAATTATGGCTATCCAAGGTGAAATTGATTTCAGCCGTTACCAGTGCCCCTCTTCAACTACCTCCTATAGATAGACTTCTCAAAGTCACAGAACTTCCCTTGACACTGTTAGATACATCCTTTTCTACCGCTCGACGGAGTATCTGGGAATGATACGTACAAAACATGATATCCGGTCGGCTACACAGCCTACCGCAAGATTGCTGCATGAAATCAGGATGGAGCGAAAAAACTTAACAAAAGTGGTTCAGTCAAAAACAACGAATTACGGACAAACAAATTTACAAACTGGAAACTATACCCAACAATAACAAACAAATGAAAAAACATAAACAGCAACAATGACTCAACAATGAAAATGAGAAACTAATAATGGGCTTGGTACTGAGCATTGAAATCAGAGTGACCAGAGCATGATATCGCTAATCGACCTCCTAGGGGTCTTAACATCAATACAGAAAAGCATTTCCATCCTTCAAAAAATTCATAAAATTCATGGGGCCATCAATTCCAACTGTGCGATGCAATAGATTGTGTCATGGATTATCTTACGAAGTCTGAAATTAAGCATGTCTTCTTCACTCCTATCTCACAACCATTACTGAACGCTCCAAATGTTCAAAAATATCTTGCCCAAGTTTCTTCCAGAAATTTACGGTGCAGACTTCCATGAGTTTCAGCCATCAGCAGGTTAGCCCATAATCTTCAAAGGACTGCATTTTGCAATTAGGAACTACAATTTCTGGCTCATCCATAAAAACACTTATGTCGGCAGGGAAATTAATGGCACATACGTTGTTTCTAAACTGAGTCCAAAATTATAGTTCCTAATTGCAAAATCCTGTCCATTTAAGAGGAGATGACTGAAATATCTTCCCTGGTCACTTCAAATTTTGGATGGCTGTGGATAGATCGAAATTTGACCTTTTTTTGGAGTCCAGAGCCATTCAAAATTCAATGAAAATTAAAAAGGAATGGGTTAGTGGACAGGATCGGATTTCACTGCTTAGCAGGCAAAGTGCAGAGCGATGGGCATTTTTGTTTCCCATATTGTTCGTATTTCCCGCGATAGTTAGAGGCTGCCAAATATTCATTGAAAAATAGACAAATTATAGCATCCATTCAAAAAATTGTTGCCAAATCGTTTTAAGTTTTATCAATTTCATGTTAATTGAAGCGCTAGGTGCAGAAAGAGCAGTTCTCAATTGCAATGTTTCAGAATCTTCACTGATAATTTAAACTTGAGAAAAGAAACTTATGATAGGTTTTTCTTGAATTTTTCACTTGGGACATAATGAATTCATATAGAGTATTCAATAAAAATTTCAGAGAAGTATACACTGTTCCCCTTTTAATCAATGAAATATCAGCAGAAATTCAGCAACACTCTAGCTGAAAAGTGCCATTCTTGCTCTTAGCACCAATTCTAATAAACTAACAGAAAAAGATTATGCAATTGAGGAAACTAATGGTTTTTATAGCTTTAATGTGTAATAGTTATGATTTAAACCAATAAACTGTCAACGAAATGTAAAGATCTTTCAAACTTGGTCACAGGCTGTGCTTACCCAATGGAACTCTTGATCAAAAAAATATCATCTGATATCAACAAAGAAAAAAAATTAGAGCAAATAGTGAAAAGTTTTCAATGCGGTATTGATGAAATTTTGAGGATGAGAATTTTCTATGATAGCTTTTTTAAAAAGCTAACTTTATTAATAGGGCAGACTCCTCAAACTCCCCTTTTGCCAAAAAAAAAGGGGAGAGTACTGCTGTGTTAAGGAAAAACGCAGTATAAACGTACAGGAGTTGCTAAATTTCCACCAGCATAATGCATGTTTCTTTTTTGTTTTTGAGGAGAGCTGTGAATATTTTCTCTTGATATTTCCAGATAATTTAAATCTGATCGATCTGAAAAATAGGTGGAAATATATTGGAAGATTGCCTAGAAAATTAGTATTTCATCAACGGAAATTTGGCAATGTCTGAAGGTTCAGACGGTGTTCTTCCTTAGCATAACAGAATAGCACGTCATACAAGGATCTTGTGCTCAATGCTCATAAAATAAAAAATTATTATGAATGGCAAGAAAAATGTACGAGTAACTTTCTTGATAACCTATGAATGCTCGAAACACGAGACGAAAAAATGATCAGTTACGGGATATTTTGATGTTTGCCTCTTGGCAAGAAATTCTGACCCTGTTCACTAATCACAGCTGTCACATCATAACGAAGTATGATACTAAAATTATGAACACAATAACAAAATGAAATCAACAAATGATTCAGGGAGAGAGGGAAAATGAAAATGCTGACGACACTTTCGACAATACTATGAGAAAACAAGACAAAAACAACACAACAATGAGATCATAAAAAACGGGGTGCAAAATCTTCTAACTGTCAAAATTTTCTAGCCACGGACTAATTCACACTCTGAAATTGCATTGTACGAGAGTATAACTACAAGAGAGAGAGCTTTACAAGTATTGGACATCATTGTGAAATTCATTCAGAGAGAGGCGCAAATTGGACAAAAAGTGTTTAAGGAAAGATATACTATTTTAAAGACAAGTTTTCCTAAAACATTTTCACTAATTTTCACCTCTCTAGGCGCCTAGCATATTTTTCGCCAACAAGAAAATATTCAGCACCCCCACAGAAACAATATGTCAAGAAAATAATTTAACGAGAAAAACCAGAATGACTGGGAAATTTGAGACGGATTGCAAATTTTAACATGTCGAGCATACAACCACCAGCCCACTTGCACCTGACTTCCGACCAAAAAATTTTTTGTGATGCAAGAGAAAAGGGCATGACTACAACTAGACTTTTCACCAGGGAGAGGGTATTCTCGAATATGCGATTTCAGCGATGAGAAATGACAATGAGCTGGAATGGTGGTTGGGGAGCACGAAAGGCGCAAGAGGAAACGTGATCACTTGCGCAAGCTGTCTTTGCTGCTAGCCAATGATGTACTTGTGCTTGAGGCTTGGTCACCGCCTGCACTTTCTCCATTTACTGTGCTTCTACCTGCACCGGATCTAAACAAAGAAAAACAAAATAAAATTATATATAAAGTTTATCAAAGGATCGAAAGCTAATCATTTTTAGAGAGATCTAACTCTTGAAGGAGAGAAGGAAGTGAATGTATTGATAAGACTTGTAAATGGACTGAGTTTAGTACACTCCAAGATGACCTCTATTTTAGAGACAGCCTCCTTTCGGGGGTGAAAAATTGATCTTTATTATTCCTTTAATTGCATCACCAAACATTACTACAAACAGGTGAACGACAATTCTGCTCAGTGAATGGTCTGTTTTCTTATAAGGAAAAACACAGATGGTCAAACTTCTTCAGATAATGGAAGGGGGTTGATCAACCCCATTCTATCAGCATGCAGATGGTAAAAATTATGGAAGCACAGGATATCCTCGCTAATGAAAAGGAGATACATTAACTTTTGCTTGAGAGGAGGATGCCTCAACGACCACCCAAAAGATGGGCATAGAGCCAACTTTCATCCTCTGAAGATCATTAAATGTGTTACATGTTTCGACTTTTGACGACGGTTCAAGAGGAGACTAATTAATTCTCATTTGCTTTAATCTAATTTGATACATGCCTGATATCCTGATGGCTGGATGAACAGGATGTTTGCCCTGGTCATAGGAAGAAGAAGAAAAGACTTACCTTCGCCCAGACATAGTGAGTTCCTCAATGGACGTTGGCGTGGCTGGTGTGCTACGTCCCTTGAGCTTATTCAGCGCCTTGTCTAAACGATAGAGAAATAGGTCGACGTCAGACTTGCGCATACCCAATGCTGCTGCAGCTGTCAAGTATGCGTTTGGGTAGTTATTATGATGGGCACCCCAACCTGAAATTTGATTAAAATCATAATATATTTTGGCTAATCAATACTTGACGATGAAACCAATGGGGAGCAAAGTTCACAGGAAAATGATTCATGCAATGATATATTAACTAAAACAAAGACTGCAAAAATTTTAAACAAAATATAAATGTTTGGTAATACAATTTCTTTCTATTGCACCATTCAAAAGTAGTTAATGAGCTGAGCTTTCCGTTATTTCCTGAATTCTTTTAAATAACAGCAACAACGAGACAAATTCATTCTTAAAGCAAAAAATTAGGATAGCCATGACTGAGGTTTAATTCAGGGCGCATTGAAAATGAGCAGAGGTATTACTGTCAATATGACAGTGTTTTAATGATTGGCATCATATTTTAGATTAGACAATGCAATTTTTAATTAGGCTATTACTGTATTATGATATGTACCACTGAAGATTTCCCCATCATAGTATTTGCCATACAATACACTTGCACGTAACCCAGAATTTGGACTTAGAATTATGTTTTCTTTCCACCCTAGAATAATACAACATTGATAAATAGATATAAGAAATATCACAAGAATGATGCAGCCACTAAATCAGTCTATTCAATCAGGGTTGCCACGATTGAAATCCAATTAAAATGGTACCATTTCATTTTAGACGATATCGACCTAAAGATACACAGGGACTTTAAAGCTGAACAATAAAAAGAAAAAACCCACCATCGAATTTATAAGTAGCTACTTCTTTGTGGTCAATGCTGCTAACAACTCGTGTACCAGAAACGCAGCGCAAGTACAGCATGGACCCAAGCATTGAGACACGTTTCACGTCTGCACCAGAGCTCAGCGAATTTAGTGTCATACCTAACATTTGCAAAAATCATAATATAGAGATTATAAGAAATAATAATTAACCTATTATAATTTGAACTTTGATAACTTCTGCCTTGCATCATGGGATGAATTTTCTAAAAAAAATTCTACATATTTGATTTTGTATGAATAAATCTGGAATAGATGATTTTGAGTTCACCTTTATTTTTTCCTGTTGTTTATGACAAAATTATAAATTTATGTACTCAAAATTGATTCGACGTCAAATCTGTAAAACTGCGCTTCTTCATTCTTCGTTATTCTTGGTAGCTCAAAATAACAACCCAAGTGTGGTCCATCATAAATTATGTTAAAAATACAGAATAAAAGACATATCAACAAATTGATTACAATTACTTCTGGAAACGCGAGCTTCCATGAAAGAAATTATTCCAAATTTGACGTAAAATGCACCTACACTGAAGCTAAAATTCGTAAGCGATGTCTTGAAGAAAATTTTGACAGTAATGAATGAAAGAAAGCAAGACCTGAATCATAATAACAATGATAGAATTTCACTTTCCTCTCTGAGAAAATGAATATTAAGAAATTACAATGATTGGAATTTCATTTTGTAATTCTAATTTCATTTTTACTTGGTTTCACCGCTTTGATTTACCATTTGAACGGTGCAGATGCGACTCTGTTCTAACATCTTGTCCCTCATTAATATTCTAGCCATAATTTCAGACTTTTTTAACTATAACTCAATTGGTTTTATTTGTGTACTGAATAAGGCTGTTTTCCCTTTTGCCGCAATCACACGCTGAATGTGGGAGCTGAATGTGCCTTGAATGTGGAAGTCATCGGCCCGATGCCTGAATTTTGCGCGTGACGCGCAAAATTCAGCAATGATTCTCAACAACCATCGGACTAATGTTAGATTTGTCTGAACTATTCGAGTAGATTTGACACACATCTGGATGAAAATAACTCGAATTTGCGAAATTTCAGCCGTTGGGCGATGACTGTTGACTTCCACATTCAGCTGCTAAATTCAGCGTGTGATTGCAACATTTCTTTTCTTTTGAGAGGAGAATTATTCTAGTCTAACAGAGTAATTGACTAAGCAATTCAGGAATATCCAACGTTCTGCACTTTAATATTAGATGAAAAAAAGATTTTTGAACTCTCAGTACCCTGTAAAATAATTCACGCACTCGAATTCACTCCGTTTAAAAAGCTTTTCCTCCTATCAATTAATACATGAGAATGTATCAAGGAACTCAGCCCAAAACTTACGCTCATTGATTTGACGATATTTCGATAGTTAATCTATGTTTTAAAAAAACCAACAAAAACAACGATGAGGCTTGAAATTTTTACAAAAATATTCTTTGCTAAGCCAAGAAAAAACAGAAACTGTGGGATAACAAGGTTGAAAAGAATTCTCATTTATCTCAAAAGGATTCTCTCAAAGTAAAAGGAAAGAAAAACTTTGACAACACAAATTCATTCTTTTTTTCTTATAAAGCCATTCAAATTTTTTTCCGACCTTAAAAATAGAAAAGGTAGATGAGGACAACATACCAATAGATATAGGATTGTTCTTGGTTTCTAGCAATCTTTCCCCATGTTTCATAGCCAACTTTCCGAGCTCCTCCTTTAAGTACTTGTACATTTCTTTCCGCTGACTGATGAGATTCTTGAAACCATTTATGCCCAACGACAGTAAGGTGATGAAGACATCCATTGCTGGACTTGCTGAAGCTCTCCCTATTGACATAAAAGAGGAAAATATATAATACGGGATGAAATGAAGCAATGATGAGAGTTCAAAACACACAACTCCTCTGCCATGCTTAGAAAAACCGCCGTCTGAGTCTTCGGGAGTTGCCAAATTTCCCGTATTAAACAGTAATTTTGGAGAAAAGTTATGAATATTTCTCCTTGAAATTTTCATGTACTTAAAATCAAATTGAGAGTGAAATTCTCGAAAAAAAAAATTAGAAGAAAAATAATTAATATCTTTCATTACACCTTGGCGTTGTATATACACATAACTAATTCCTACTATAATTTACATTTGCTCGACCAAATGGATTAACGGCAGACAAATGACTGCCTATAAATATCAAGGGACGAAGTGCAACACATCGATGGCTAAGTCGAAAAAAGCAAATCCCTGATAGAAACTTTGTCAATGTCTGCTCCAGTTCTATTTTTTAAAAGGATAACTAACCAACAGTTTTCCTTCTTCACGCATGCAGACATATCCACAGAAAATTCCAAGGAGATATAATGGTTGCATCAAAAAAATAAAACATGGTCCATGATCTGGAAACACTGCAACGCAGATGCGCATTTTTTACTTTAACCATCGATTAAAGTATTAATTCACCCATAGGGATCTATATAAGGACAATAATTTATATGATCCACGTACAAAATCGGCAACCAGCGATTAATATTTCCAATCTTACAACTTAAGTTCGCCTTCTCCACCACAAACATTTGTACTGTATTGAACTGTTCATCAGCCTAGTAAAAGACTCAGAAGAGACTCAATTGAGGAGATTACAAAAGATCTAATTTACGATAAATTGAAAAATGTAATGACATAAAAACTTTTGTAAAGCCTCCTACATTTAAAAAAATCCAAAATTTAAAGATTCAGCCCTTGATTCATTTGGACTGCATTTTGCAATTTGGAACTATAAATTCTGGCTCTTCTGAAAAAGTATTTATGTGCATAAGGAAACTAATAGCACGTACGTTGTTTTTAAACGGGGCTAGAATTTATAGTTCCTAACTGCAAAATGTAGCCCATTTAATCCCTGTCCATGGGTGATTTTGCAAAAATGTTTCTTTTACTTTAAAGATTGAAGAGAAAAATTGTGCACGAGAATCTGACCTGGGTAATTTTTTGCTATTTTCTCGAGTAAACTTTTATCAAAGCCAGAGATTACAGCTCCGCCGACTGGTACTAATAAATTCTTATCTGTGCTCTGAACAAATGCATCCACTCTTCCTTTCCTGGTAAACACAAAACAAAATTAATGGCTTTGACAAATTGTGAGGCCTTTATCAGACCATTTCACTCATTAAATATGCAAAACATATTCGACCTTTAACATAGTTGAACATTGAAAACATACCTCGAGATTTCTTCAAATTGAACCATATACATATATATCGAGTACATGTCAACAGCAAAACTCTCAGACTACGTATCTCGTTTGCGGTGATTTAAAATCTCTACTACAACTTTATTTTCTAAAGGTGAACAAATCAACATCATTCCTCGAAGTTTTTACAGAATTTTCTTCAAAGAGAGGAAAAATCACAGAAGTTTTCAGGAATTGCCGTTAGTTATCCATTTAAAAAATGAAGTATGATGGGAATTCAGCAATGTCGCAAACTGAAATACGTGATTTGAGAGTTTCATCGTCGATTCACACTATGAGATTCAAACATTTTTAAATGAAAAAACTCACGCTTCCACTATTTCCTATTTAATTTTTTTTAATTTCGTTTTTGATAATAGGACAAATATATTCGTGATCTTGATCCAAGTTCAATGCTCTTCACAAGGTCAGGGACACCGGCCCAAACACCATGGGAGACTGCAATAATACATTCTCATCAAAAAATACACTAAAACTGATCAGTTTGATTTGCTTGGTGTAAATGCTCTCATCTGAACTTGATTGAATCAATCAGTTCAAGAACAACCTATTTCATTGCCCAAAAAGATTCTTCCTAACCTCCTATACAAAATATTGACAATAATATCCACTTTTTCCACTGGAAATGATCTTTCAGTTGTCAAGAATTCACTATTTAGAGAGATAAGAAAACCGGAACCGGAACCTTAACGTCTGAAAAAGAAATGAATGAAAAATATTCAGAGAAAAGACAGGTCATTTGGGTCGCATTAAGGGAAAGGAACCAAACCTTAAGCAGCTTTTGCCAAATTTGATTGGGCGATTTAATTTTTTACCAGGGGTGCACATTTTACTATGCTTCCACAATTTCGCGCGATAAGCTTTTCCTCTTCCACAAAAAATTTTTAAAAAATTTCCACAATTTCGTGACTCCTTCCACAAAAAGTAATAACTTTTTTTTTTTTTTTTTTTTTTTTTTTGTTTCAGTAAAAAATATGGGATTCAAAAAGAAGAGCCAGAAAAGAAACGAAAAGAAAGAAGGAAAGAAAAAAAAATTTCCCCAAAATTTGGGACGCTTCCACATTTTCACGCGATAATTTATCGCGTGATCGCGCTTCCAAAAATTGGGAAGGCCTTCCACAATTTCACGCGATAATTTATCGCGTGATCTAGTATATTGTGCACCCCTGTTTTTTACATGAAAACGGTTGTGCGGATTTTTGTGCAAATTTCCGCGAGTTTTCTGCATAGTACGAAGCAAATTCCTTAAAATTTCCAAGGGAATCTGCACAAACGTTTTCTTGTAAGAAATTATATTGACCAGTTAAATTTGGCAATAGCTGATGTGGCTTGGCTCCTTCCTGCTAAATGCAGACCATTTTCTAATTATCTGATATAACTTCTCAGGACTTTGCCATTAATTGTGAGGTCAGAGTAAAGAATTAGAGAAACTGTAATTAAATATGTACCTGGCAGCTTCCTGAATTAAATGCATGAGCCGAGTTGATTGTAGGCCATACGCATTGTTGACTAGATGAGGGATATTGTATCGACTGCAGATAACGGCTATCTGCTCTAAGGAGTCTGCCGCCCTTGGGGCAAAACAACTCGTTGTTGAGAGGACACAGACTATATTATCTGAGCCCAGCGTTGCCATTTGCTGTTCTAACGCCACAACATCCGTGCGAAGCTCATCCCCGCACAGGCAAGTTTCGATTACAATCGGCTGCAAACCTGCACAAAAATAAAGAAACCTTTTAGATTGTTGAGAAATAATTGTTGCCCACAAGAGGCTTGTACTCACTACTGTCAAAGTTAATGTGGCAAGCGTCACCTGAGGCTTGCTTTTTTATATCCTAATATTTTCATGATTATCAGATTATTTCCTTTGAGAATGACATAAAAAAGTATACAAACGCAAAAACTGATGGCCTACGGTCAGTGTCGACAAGAATGCAAGAATTTTTTTCAAAATACAGTAGAGCAATATCCTTTTTCAAGCTTAAGGCGGGCAATTCTTTGTTGACAGGGCTTCTACAATTTCCTCATTCTTTAATTCCCTGATTTTTCCTGCCCTTCTGACAAAACTTCCAATTAGATTTTTTCTCTTACAATTACGCAGGCTTTTGCTCAATGTTAGACAAAACTCCCTCTTTAGAGATTCAAATCATAAAGAAGGCTCTCGGAAGGTGTTTTTGTTTTCTCAAACAGCAACGGCTGAAGTTCCTGAGCCAACACTTTCCTCCTGAAAGTCCCTGACTTTTCTTACAAATTTCATGATTTTCCTCAATTTTTTAGGTCATCATAAATGCTATGACTTTTCAGGTTTTCTTGACAACCACACATTCTGTGTGAGCGAAGTACCAGTGCTTGCGTGCTTTGCGGTATATCGATTGATCTGCCATTTAAACCTACGAAAAAGGATCGATAAACAGGATGTTTGCAACGAACATCTTGATCATTGATTCTTTACCATAGCTTCAAATGAAGAAATTCCAATAATCAATCATTCACGCCTCGTGACTGTACTATACCTGCTGTGATGATGCATTTGAAGCAGGACTTCTGGTCGATGCGTGGCCAGAGCACAAATTTGGCCCCAGGACGATCTTGTTTAATGGTCAGGAGGCACAAAACTAAGCTCATTCCAGTCGCCATTGGCACCATGAAACAACCAGCTGAGTTAGTTACACCTGCAACACCATATATTCAATTGATTATTCAATTCGGGATCAGTAATTGGTAGTTTTCAGTTCTGGGAGAATATAGGCAAAACTACACAAAATATGAATCACAGATGTTGTCTTTCCATTTAGTAAATCAAGATTTTGGCACAACAATAATTTTTTTTTTTTTTTATACGTATGAGGACTTATATGTAACAATAGCGGATGTCAAGTTTTTACATTGTGAGAAAATTTCGCGAAAATTGAAGCTTTGCACTTTGCTGCCCGTGGAACCGAGAGGATTCTTATAAAGATTTTCATGAAGAGCAACTCTTCCTGTGAAAACACACGCTTTACGATCTATGTAAGTGAAAACTGAAAGGAATAACAATGATCTGAAAAAAATGCAACATCCACTATTGTTACTGAAAACATTTTTTTTATGCATGAAACAAAGTCTTCAGGAAGGGTAAGGCTGGTAAAACGACTGAAATGAACCGAAAGTGTGTCAATGCTGAGTCATTTAATCAAATTGAACAAAAAACTAAATCATCTGTAACTTCTACAACAAAAATAAGGAATAAATTATAAAATCAGTTAAAAACTCATCACTTCTGGCAAGACAGTCTCGATACATATCATTTGAGTGTCAGCTGTTGCCCATGGCCAGTGCACGGGCTGTTTATCGCAAGTGCATTCAAATCTCCAAAGTGTCCTGCCGCGCCGGCCGGGGAGAACAGTGGTCAGTGGATTCTCATGTCCGCTGTTTTTACAAATAACATGGCTTTCAGTTCATATCTCGCCGAAAAATTGCGCTGGAAGTCTAAAACTTTGCACGGGCATTCTTGAGGGCTCCAGAATTCAAAAAAAGTGTGTTCTCTAAAAATGGCGGATGTCAGCGACCCCTATTGTTACATATATGTCCTCATACATGATTAAAGATGAGAAAAATCGTAAAATTTCAAAGGTTAAAACGTTTGGTTTAGTTTGATTCATTGCAATGCTGTTGCTTTTTTAAGATTTTAATTTTAAAAATGTTTCAAAACTTATGTCTTTTTCACAAAATGCCCTAACTTTTCCCTGATCTGATGAAATGAACGGACAGTTCCCTGTTTTCCAGATTCTTAGATGCCTTAGTAGACTCACCCATGAATCGAATAGTGTCAAGAAGGAGGGCATTAGTTAGCTTTATTAGCAAACTTGAGCCAGCAGCTTTCGGTTGCACCTCACCGATGTCACCAGAGCGTCCAATTCCATGTCCCATTCGATAGTGTCTCCGCGAAACAAGGGCTATAAAAATTATAAATTGAAAAGAATTATGATAAAACAACACAGAAGAGATGAAAGAGCATATTATATTAAAAGGTGGTAAAATGGTGCTGGGTCCATACCATTTTGCGGGGGAAACAAAGCCAAAAAGTTCAATTAGAGTAAAAAATTTTGAGCTCTGATGAGTGCCAGTACAAGACTGAGCGGGGAGAGAGTGTTCAGCTCAGGCAACTTGCATAGGAATATTCAGTTGGAGTCGACGTTTTGGGTCTTTTTTGACCTCATTACTAAATCACACTCGCCAATGAACCCAACTTAGCATCCTCCAAATCCAAGACTGCATCAAAACGCCGTCATGAATATGACACAAAGCATGACACAAAAGTGTGATCCTGGAGCCATCTACCATCGCAGCTGAACAACTCTCATAACAAAACAAGGATGACCCGAAATCATCATGATACCAATAATCATTTTTTTCTCCTAAGAGTTCCCCCTTTTTCCCTTCTCCTAAATTCAGTCGCTCGGACTGATTGAATTTAGGAGAAGGCTTTGAACCTTCTACACCTCTCTTTTCCTCTATGAGATAGCAATCTGGCCTTTTCTGAAAAGTATCGAAAGATACTAATCACTATTACAATTCATACTAGGGGCATAAAAAAAAAGAATTGGGTATATTTGATGTTGTGACGGTTAAAAAGCGTGCTTTTCAGGCACATTACAAGTTTTCAAGAGCTATGAATTTTTTGATGATTTAATGTAAAATTTTTCACGGAGCAATGGGCAACAGAAATTTTAGCTGCACACAGATATAATTAAATTGCTGATTTAACAATTAAATTGCTAAAAACAGTGACAGCAATGTTTCAACGTAGATTTTACAACAAAAAAATGCTACTTTAACCACCATTGTAATTTAAGTGAAATCTACATTGAAACATTGCAGTTAATTTTTTCTAGCAATTTAATTGCTGAATCAGAAATTTAATTTTTTCCATGCACAAATTTTTCAGGCGCCAGAGTTTGATTTGTAAATGAGTTTGGCATATGGTACATGGTGAAGTTGGAGCACACATATGGAGTAAAGAGAATAGAAAAAATTGGAGAGAGTTAGTTACTCCAATGTTGAAATAGTCCCTAATTGCGGATGAGTGATGATCGATTCTTATCATCTGAAATTCAGATGCATAAAATGAAATTGGTGTTCAACTAAGAGTTGAAGTATAAAGAAATAAAGCCAAATAATATGAAGGATCGACACGTACAACTCGCAAATCGGGCTTCACGTTCTCCAACACCACTGTTCCCAGGGAAATTGTTGCTGTCCATTTGCGCTAAATCTGCAATGAATAACTCGATGGTCGCATCGTCCCAACCTTCTTCTGGCCATTTTTTCTGCAAATTTAAAAGAACAAATTATCAGCAACTTAATCAATGTTATCTCTCAATCAACGTTATTCTTTAGCACAGCAGTACTAATTTATTATTAGAGAGAGGAAATGTATGTTCAGTTGAGCTCAGAACTTTTTTTGAGCAACTTTCAATCCGAACTGTTGGTTCTTTCCTTCTTAATTAATTTAGGTGGATGAGTTAATTGAAAGAGATGTGTAAAAAAAATGGTCAAAAATTTTTTGAGGCTTGCCAACTTTGGTGAAAACGAAGTCCCAAATCCAAGTATCTGTGTTCAGTAACGGTTAGCATGATTTTTGCACTTCATTAGAGAAAAAAGTGACTTGATTCAAGCAGAAATATGCTCCAATTTGCCGCTGAGAAGATTTCCTGATGAATCAATAAAGAAAATAATACTTGTTTAATGAATAAAAAATGCTTGTGTAAAAAGAAAAGTCACTTACATCAAGCAGAAACATGCATTCATTCAGCTATTTTATTCTTGATTCAAAATAAAATCTTCTAGATGGCATACTTAAGAATGTTTCTGCCTAAATTGAGTCACTTTTTTCTCAAATTAAATGAAAAATTATGCTAAATGATAATAAGTACAGATGTTAGGACTTAGTGAGCTTTTGGACTACCGCTCTTTTTTGTGACGTATTATCTTGATTTCTTTGCGAGGGAAGCTCTGTACTCTTAAAGTTGCCTGTCATCCTTAATAAGTTGGAGCGCCTTCAATTTCGTATGATACTGTGCAACACATCTGTTGTGAAATAGTTGCTTGAGGCGCCGTGGCACGCTACGGCGCAGCAGGCGGCCGGCTAACGAAGTGTGCCTACAAACCTAAGGGGATACTTCACGCATTGCGCAATGCTTGAAGTATCCCTTTAGGTTTGTAGGCGCCAATGCGCATTTTGCGCTAGCTGACCGCCGCTTAGCTCTGTGTAAGGCTCTAATATTTAAACTTGCGGACTCGGTATTTTTCAACTCTAATAGATTGATGTACAACTGGATTAAAACCAAAGATTGCAGGCTTCTTGGTTTTTTTCTCCTCTTTTATTCCTTATTGCATAGTTTCTTTCATCACAACTATTTAGATTAATATTGATGTCATCGCTTGGAAAATGTTTTACAAATATTTGCCATGTTTTAAAACTGTAAATGTTTTTAAAATGGAGTAATATTTTCACTTAAAAAGAAAAAAAGAAGATATATGTAAAGTAAGTTTCATATCGAAAATTTTAAGGATACTTAGAAATAGAGCCAAATATTCTCCAATGACAATTTGAAAAGATGAATCAAAAGAAAAAAGTAACATTTCATTGAAAAATGAGTTACCATGACAACACCTTCTTCTCTCTCAATTTTCTAATTTTGATATTGCCAATGTAATTTTACAAATGGACTAAAATATGACGCTTGGACAAAGTCACTGATGCTTATTTTACACATGACCATGAACTACTGGACAAAACATGTGCGTAGACAAAAAATCGTTGACGGTACATCCTGAAATCGAAGGCATTTAGTAGCAGGTTAAAAGATGACAGGCCTTAAAATGACCGGGAGGGGAAGCATTTTGAAGATCAGTGATGTATCAGTGATTAGCAGATGTGCCAGAAAATCTCTGACTATTCCCAGTCATTACAAATTCCCTGACTATTCCCAGTCATTAAAAATTCCCTGACTATTCCTGGTCATTACAAATTCCCTGACTTTTTGTGATTTCCCCGATTTTCCAAACGACCGACCCTGAAACTTCCTCACCAGCCGTGGCAGCTCTACAGCTGTGTCTTATTTCGACAAAAGAAAAAATGCGTGTCAATGGTGAGCAAAAATCCAAGAAAGTCGACCTGACCTGTTCAATGAGAAGTCGAATAAGATTTTCTCGACTTTTCTTTGAGGCAGCTGCCTGCTGTAAGTATGTAGCTGGGATCAAGCGCTCAGCTAGGGTGAAACTTTGACTATTCATTTTGACTCTTTTCCTTACTTAGCCATTACTCCAAATCTTGATTGTAACTGGAAAAAAGCAAAGTGAAAAATACATTAGAGCAACACAGGTATGATATCAAAAGCTTTTAAATTCTTACGGTGATTCATCAAGCTCAAGTGACGTGGTCAAACTGGCATGCGATATATCGCATTGATTACTTAGGTCAAAAATCTCGACAGATTTTTAATTTTTAGCAAAATAAAAGCCGATAGCCCCTGCGCATGAGCCTAAAGAATCATTTTAAACCCAAAAATCAGCAAAATTCAGAGAAATGAAAGCAGAATAGTGTTTGGAAAAGAACCTCGCATTCTATACAAAAATTGATAGCTGAATTGAATGCAAGGTTTTAATCCAAACACTATTCTGCTTTCATTTCTTTGAATTTTGCTGATTTTTGGGTTTAGAATGATTCTCTAGGCTCATGCGCAGGAGCTATCGGCTTTTGTTTTCCTAAAAAATCAAAATCTGCCGAGATTTTTGACCTAAAAGATGCGATATATCGCATGCCAGTTCGACCACTACTTTAGAGCTTGACAAATCACCTTAAGATTCAAGATCCTTACTAACCAGTTTAAACAATGATGCTTTGGATTCGTACGTAAGAATTCTCCTTAAGATTTCAGATATTTTGGGGGAATTTTAAAAATTTCTAGGATTTGAGTAAAAATTTACGCACGGCTGTCTTGAGAAAAAATTAGTGAACAGGCAAATTCTCTTAATCTTTTCTCTCCCCCCTCCCCTCCCATGCAGGTGACCTACAGGGAAGGCATTTCCTACAAGGTTAGAGGGGGGGGGGATCTGGAGAGCTCCCTAAGGAAAGTGTTGGTAAAAAAGCTTTTAAATTGTCTATTTTTTACTGTCTGAGTGGAAAAAATGAATCTTGCATTGTCACTTAGTGCCTCACAATATCATGCACACACTGCCCTTGGCATAGTGTTCAACTGGAACAAAAAAAAAATTCAATCCCTGTTTCAGGCGAAGTCAAGATGAAAATTTACCAAATTTGCAATTGGGGATCTTCTGAATAATAAGATGAACTGGGGAAAGAAAAGAAGAGACATATCTACGGTGTAAGTCGGCAATCGCATAACTCGTTTGCGGTGTCTGAAAATCTCCGCCTCTATGTTATTTTTTTAAAGGAGAACAAATCGACATCATTCCTTGAAGTTTTTGCAGAATTTTCTTCGCACAGAGAGAAAAAATCACGGCAGTTTTAAAGAATTGCCGTTGAATAGTTTTCCGTTTAAAAAATAAAGTATGACAGGAAGTGTGCGACGTCGCAAACCGAGTTATGTGATTGCCGACTTACACCGTCGATATGTCACATCCAAAAATTGCACCATTCAACAGATATTTACATGCTAACCAATGGGCCAACTGATGATTGATGCATCCGTACTGATGTGACTATTGTCTCTTCTTTTCTTTCCCCAGTTTCTGCCTTAGAAAACATTGAATGTTTTTCTAAACTTTAAAGATTACATCCTATGAACAATCATGACAGTTGATGACGTTTTTTTCGCACGAAATAATATACTCTTCAGAGTACATAGGAGGGAATTCAGAGATTTTTATCGACATGCGAAAAATTCCAGTCTGAAAATAAAATTTGAGAAAGATTACTCGCTGGTGATAGTTGTCAAAATAGATATCAAAGATAATGAGGGACAAATACCTAAGAACCATTCGGTAAAAACACATGGAATTAGCTTCCTAGCAACTACACAGTTGTTTCAGTATCTATCAGCCTCTCTATCAAATAGGCATACAAAAACCCGAAAAATTTTGTTACTTGACACTGATAATTTTCAAAATTTTGACTGAAATAGCACTTTTCAAAATGTAGGTAATCCTGCTTGCAAATCGGTCACATAAAACTGTGGCTCAACAAAGAAACTTGATAATATTTAAGTTTGGTACTCTTTGTAATTACCAATAATTTTAACCTTTCCTTGAAGAAACTGACAGCTTCTTGCCGCTCATTGCTATAGAAACTCTGACAGGTCATAGGACTTAGGTTACATCTCAGACATTAGCCTGGGCAAGAGGCAAAGGACACCCAAAGTGGAAAAATAGACGCAATTACTCAAAGAATGCGGAAAATTTTCAACAGACAAGAAATTGTCTACACTGAACATAAGATGATAAGGGTATCGGAAAAGTTGTGTATTTACTGAGGAAGTCTTCACTATCATACTGCATTGGTTTGGAGGTGAAGTGACGTTGAAATATTACGTGAAGGATTCATTCAGCAAAGGAGCACAATGAACCTGATATACAGAGTTTATAGATATGTTGTGGAATGTTAGTCTGACCACTCTGATTCTATTTAAGAATTCTTAAAAATGCCAGGGGTGAGGCAACCTTTTTGAGGTTAAGGCTCTGATAAGAGCTTAAGAGCTAACTATGTCAGTGGGTAAATGCAGCTATGAGGCAATATTATGCTGTGAGAGTAATATTTTGGCATTAAAGTCCAAAATGCATAGTGTAGTTAGTAGTTAGGGCAGTTCATAAGTGCGAAGAGGATATGCAAAGAGATGTAAAATGAGTTACATAGTCTACTGACCATTGAAGTTAATCATTTTTTGTTCTTCAAGAGGCAGTAAGTTATGTTTTAGAGGAATCTAAGAAAGAATAAACGAGAGATACTGTCTGCAATTACAGCGAGATAAAGACAGGAGAAAAAATGAAGAAGCGCTAAAGTTTCTGAAGAGTTAGTCCTTTGAACTAAGGTACAAGATTGACTGACAGCTCCTCAGGATCAACTTGCGCTTGAAATACTTCGGTTGAGGCAAGGTTCTAAGGCTCAGAGTACGACTAGATTTAATCCCAAAATTCATTTTATGATGAATGTTTGGAACTGTGGAAATGGGGGCAGATAAATGTAGAAAAGGTGCTGATAGAAATGATTGATTTGAACCTACCTGCTTGGAATGGCTAACTTATTCCCGAAAAATTGAGACTTTGTGATTCACAAACGCACATAATAGTGAAGATCAGATCACAGATAAAAATTAGCGAGCAGTTTTTGCAACGCGAAAAACTTACGGAAACATATTTATGACTTATCTTGAGTCAAAAGGAAAATAAATAAACAATTTCGTGGAAAATTGATAAAAGCAGCAAAACAGAGAGAGCGCTGAGTGCGCTGTAGTGGTGGGAAAGGGAACTATTTTTGATTACACTTTATGAATAAACCAACAGAGAGCGCTTGAAGTGTCATATGATTGGCCTTCAAAAAGTTGTTCTAAATTAATGTACATAGCAGAACTGTAGTTAAAATTGCAGATTTGCAAAACGGAGGCGCTAGAATGACCATTCGCATCTTACTCATGATCTGAGTCAGATTCAAAGCACAAACCTGATCTTTTTTCTTTATAATTTTGAAACTATGTCACCATCAAAACTTTCCCATTTTTATCGATGAGTGTCAAGCGCAAAAATTGAAATTGAAATTAAATAAACTTTGAAGGCTACCGTTTCATTCTACCTCAGCAAACTTTATTCTGTAGAGTAACTGTCTAAGATGTTCCCGTGGCCGTGAAATTAGATGAGGCCATTTATGTTCATTACCCCAATAGCAATGACCTTTTAAAACACCCTTAAAAAAACTGTTAAAATGTTCGTGTTAGGAAACCCGTTTTGGCAATTATTTACAGTAAAATTTAAAGAAGAGAGAAACTCCCAAAATTTCCCTGTAGTTTTTTAGAAAAAATTATTAAAATTTTTTAATGTAAATAAACTACAGTAGAAATTTTAAGAGTTTTTTAAACTTTTTTCATTAAATTTTACCTTCGAAAAATAGCCAAAAAAGGTTTACTAATGATACCAACATCTTAACAGATTTTTTGGGAGTTGTCTTTTTGAAATTTGAAAGTTTTTTTTACAGGGCTGGATTAAGGGGGTGGCCACATGGGCCGCGGCCCATGGCGGTAATTCTAGGGGGCGGCAAATTTGGTAATTTTTTTTAAATGTAGGTATGAAAAAAAATCAGATTTAGAAAAAAAAAATTACAAACGAGAAAAGGCTACAAAATCTCTCATCTCCTAAGAGTATAATAATTTCTAATTTTGTCGTCTTTCAATGATACAAAGGACAGCACCTTTAGATACTCGAGTTCAGAGAGAAACCAAACAAACAATTCGGCCTGGAACGCCGCGACCTACGGATAAATGATGACGAAGACTATGGACCAATCCAAGTTGTGCCTTAGTCGCCGTTTACGGCCGTTCTTTCCAGGGCTCATGGTCGGAAAGCACTCCGGTGTTTTTTCGGGGCACCCGGATTCCGGGCTGCCACTACCACCGCGGACCAAATTACGAGGCCCAGCCTGTAATCTTGCGAGTGTGTGTGTGTCCCTTTGACGAGCCGCGGTTTGCCGCATCTGATCAATGAGTGGGAGAGAGATACACGATAAAACGGCGGCGGATCAAAGCCGAGTGTGCTCCTTTGACGTGCCGCATCTGAGCAATGAGTGCGAGAGGGAGAAAGGACAAAACAGCGTATGGACCGATCCAAGTTGAGCCTTAGTCGCGGTTTACGGCCGTTCTTTCCAGGGCTCATGGTCGGAAAGCACTCCGGTGTTTTTTCGGGGCACCCGGATTCCGGGCTGCCACTACCACCGCGGACCAAATTACGAGGCCCAGCCTGTAGTTTTGCGAGTGTGTGTGTGTCCCTTTGACTAGCCGCGGGTTGCCGCATCTGATCAATGAGTGGGAGAGAGATAGACGATAAAACGGCGGCGGATCAAAGCCGAGTGTGATCCTTTGACGTGCCGTATCTGAGCAATGAGTGCGAGAGAGAGATAGGACAAAACAGCGTATGGACCGAACGAAGTTGAGCCTTAGTCGCCGTTTACGGCCGTTCTTTCCAGGGCTCATGGTTGGAAAGCACTCCGGTGTTTTTTTGGGGCACCCGGACCCCGGGCCGCCAGTACCACCGCGGACCAAATTACGAGGCCCAGTCTGTATTTTTGCGAGTGTGTGTGTGTCCCTTTGATGAGCCGCGGGTTGCCGCATCTGATCAATGAGTGGGAGAGAGATAGACGATAAAACGGCGGCGGATCAAAGCCGCGTGTGCTCCTTTGACGTGCCGCATCCGAGCAATGAGTGCGAGAGAGAGAAAGGACAAAACAGCGTATGGACCGATCCAAGTTGAGGCTTAGTCCCCGTTTACGGCCGTTCTTTCCAGGGCTCCTGGTCGGAATGCAGTCCGGTGTTTTTTCGGGGCACCCGGATTCCGGGCCGCCACTACCACCGCGGACCAAATTGCGAGGCCCAGCCCTTAGTTTTGCGAGTGTGTGTGTGTCCCTTTGACGAGCCGCGGGTTGCCGCATCTGATCAATGAGTGGGAGAGAGATAGACGATAAAACGGCGGCGGATCAAAGCCGAGTGTGCTCCTCTGACGTGCCGCATCTGAGCAATGAGTGCGAGAGAGAGAAAGGACAAAACAGCGTATGGAGCTGGAGATGAAAAGGAGAAGCCTCGGCGCGGTAATCGATCGGCATGTAACACATATTAGCGCCTACAAGACTACACGAATTCTTCCCCCATTGCATCAAATACAGTGCGGTTATTGTGGTCAGCGTGAAACGGATAGCGCCTACAGGAATGCATGAATACCTCACGCATTGTGCCAAACACAGTGCGGTCAGCGTGAAACGCACAGCGCCTACAAGACTGCGTGAATACTTCACGCATTGCGCCAAACACGGTGCGGTCGGCGCGGCGCGGCGGCGGAAGTTAAAATCATTAAACCAAATTTTGTGTTTTGTTTATCATCATTTTTTCGTTCATTTCTTATGAATGGAAGGCATTGTCCATTAGAAATAGGTTTACGAAACTTGACTTTCGCGCAAAGTTCGGTGACCTTTTGCTAGTAGTGTTGACAGGGCTCTCCCAAAAAATGTGTTCAAAACGAATAAACGCGTCTTATGCACCCCTTCGCCGCTGGCACGTTCACTTGATGGTTTTTATTGATGTTTCAAAACTAATGAGAAGGGGGCGGCGAAATACAGGCGGCCCATGGGCGGTAAGTAGGAAAATCTGGCCCTGGTTTTTTAAAAAAATGTTTAAACACTTTTTGCTACTAGGGTACCTGCTATCAGCTATGATAGTAAAAGGAAACCTCTGAATCTAAATTCCATTTTTCCTTCTTAATCTTCTCTCTCTGCCCTCTCCAGTTATTCTGTCCCCGGGTGGGGGGGGGGGGGCGTTATGCCATGCCGTGCCGTGCTTCCTCCCCCTTCTGGGTATCCGGTACTCTTTATCAAATTTGAATTTTGAGACCTCCTAAACAAATGTTGAGACATACTATGGCAAACTTCAAGCTTGCGGAAAACTAGTGTTCGGAAAACTAAGGAGAATTTTATGGCCTGCGTTCAGAAAAAAATTAAACAACATTTTTGCAGTGGTGAATGCACAGCTGAATTGCGCTCCAGCTAGAATTGTATTTAGCAAATGGGTTGATTTTATACAAGGATTAACAATAAACAAGTGGTACGGAATATAACAAAATAATATGAACTTTGCAAAACGATAATCCGGGTATCGGAACTTGGCTGTTTTGAAAAAGCCTTCAAATGCGGCGTGATACCCCACGCATTCCGGAGAGTTCAAATAGTTGTATCATTGCGCCGTAAGAATGTGACGGACCTCACCTACTTGGTGAATCCAGCCCTGAGAGAGAATGAGCTGTTAATTCTGCCGGCTCACATCCGCCCGTACAATAAAAGAAAATAGTCTCTCTCGTAAATAAAAAGCTTCTCTCACAATCAGATAAAAATCAGATAAAAATTTGCTCTTCGTGAAAAAAGGTTTTGAACAGAAGACGTTCCCAGTACCAACTAAATTTGCTTTCACTTGCAGAGTTACTAGAATATGTAGGACACTACTCTTTCAATTCAAACTTTTATTCTTACTCTCTCGATTAAATTTCAAGTATTTTAAGCTTTTCATGATTTTTCACTGCGAAATTACGTTAAATGAGTGAAAAAGGACCACAGCACATGTTGTAATCTGGTTCATTTTCTGGGGCGTGTGTTGGAGAACTGAGATCCGCTTTATCTCTGTTATGTTGGATCACTGTTGATAGTGATAGTGGAGAAATGAACGATAGCTTACTGTCAACAAATGGTTTGTCAGGTCAATCTCGATGAAATCTTTCATTCTCGGTGATGTTCTACAGGTAATTAAACTTCTGAATTCTTGTTTACCGCTCCTTATTTTCTCGCAAATGTTGTTGCCTCACTCTCGAACTATTCTACACTGTGATATGCTTCTATAATAGTCTTAAATGGGCATGTATTCAATGGCCTATGACTCAAAAATCAGAGGTTATCTATCTTGGAGACTCAACAAGTTTTTGACTTTCAAATCATTATTACGTGTGGCATCCAAATTTATCGCACATCGCAATCTGTAACCCAGCATGTACTCTCTGAATCACTCAGTCTGAAACCCTTGCGGCTGAACTCGCTAACTCTGTCCCCATTTTACGGGTAAATGATCAATGTCTGTTTTGAGCTCTCCACAATCTGGACACACTTCATTTCAATCATTTTGGCTTTTAATGCTGAGATTTACAGGTGTCGTTTCTCTTTCGCATACATTTTGCAATTTTTGGGGATTATTAAGTTTGGGAGACTTTGTATTCATGATTTAAATGTGAGTTTTATGTCAGCTGGTATTTCACTCCCTGATTTTTCCCACCGTTTACGAAGCTTAACTATGTCACAGGTAGTTTTAGGATCCTCAAACTGTAGTTATTAGTCTCTAGTGATTAATATTGGTGCCTTGATGGCTGAATTGTTCTCTGTATGGAGATTCGTCCCCCTCCGTTCAATGCAATGGCTTGTACAAGGTTACAAGAGTGGGTCTCCTTCGAAGCGACGTCCACAGAAGTGTCAGTGAGTTACTAATTTATTATGGTACTGCTCTTCTTTTGAAACACTGGTTACAATTGTACCATAAGTCGCATCGAGGAACTACTTCTCTGGCAGATCCCTATCTGAGTAGGCAAACAAAAAGCACGTATGTGGTTGCTTAAATGAGCCAGAAATAATGGTTCCTAGGGTAACCTCGAATGTTAGTGGGTACTCATATTAGGGTCTTACACGGAGAAGTGATCAACCAATCCATAAATGAAGTATCCATTTTCTGATGGGTAACGCGCATTGAAGCTGGAGCGCGCAAAAACACATCTATAAGCAGAGCGTTGGAGGGATTTTAGAGGTAAATTTCTCAAAAACCTACCAATGAAACATTGCCAAATCTCTGAAAATCCAAACATCAGAGCACCAAAATGCTGATTGAATCAATTCAAGTTTAGGAAATTGACTAATGTTCCAGGAAAAGGTAACTAACAGCAGTGGCATTGCCCATTTACACACTTGTAATTTTGAACGATGCGGATGAGGGGATAGTCCATTCTTGATGACGCAAGTACCCGCTTTGATTCTAGGTTACCCCAAGCTTGAAATAGTGGTTCCTTATTGTTAATTACAGTCCAATAGAGCGGTTGTATTATGTTAATAAATGCTTATGTAATGATATAGCTCAACTCTGCACCCACACATTAAGTAAACTCGACTTACATCCTGCCATTTTTGGATCTTCTAATTTATATTTACAATTTTTGCTTCTGTTCTGCTCTCTAGGCAAGACTCCTGGGTTGACTTAATATGATCTCTTGCTGAGAATGCCCATCCAGGCGCCGCAGTGGACCGAATTTCTGTCTTGTCCCGTCTGCTGTCATGAATTTGATGCCCAAAACCGCCCACCCATCAATTTGGCATGCTCCCATACCATCTGCCGAACATGCCTCACCAACCTGCACCGCAAGCAGTGTCCGTTCGATCAGGTGAATTACCAACTGTCCTCAATCTCTTGTCCCATGCTCCCTCGTGCATTATTGTAAATTAATATATTTGTGACACCCAAGATGAAAATTTGGCCTGAAGTTTTTTCTTTCTTATAATGAGTCCTTCATGCCCCGTGTCCAGGCAGTTATGCTGGTATGGACATGTGCAAAGATTGTCGGAGGAGAGGTTGCCCAAACAAATTATGGATTGGGTACCATCTGGGAAGAGGCTACAGGGACGTCTCGAAAAGGGTTGGTGGAAGGACATGGACTTGCGGTGTCAGTTGCGCGATAACCTCTGGGAGGACAGGCATATGTGGCATTTGGGTGTCGCAGAACGCCAGAGTTTGTTGTAGGAGCGACTTTATATGTATACATATACATAAAGAGAGACAGTGAGTCCTACGCTGCTGTGCTGAAGGAAAACGCCGAATGAGCACTTGAATAGAGCCAAATTTCCTCTCGGAAAATATTTATTTTTGAAGGAAGTTTTGCACAATTTTCCTTGAAAATCTCAGTTATCTCAGATCAAACAAGGAACGAAATTCTGTGAAAAATAGGAAGAGGAATTCTCATAAATTCATCTGAAAATTTTTAAATTGTTGAAGGAAATTTGGCAGCATCTGAAGGCTCTTACAGCGTTCATCCTTAGCATGGCAGTACAGAGGGACAAAACTTTGAACCTAGTTTTCTTTGTTCCAAATCCATGTCACGTAGCTCCTTTTGAATACTTGTCTTCGAAATAACTTTCATAATCAAGGATGTAATTTTAATCAAAGATTGATATAATAATTAGGAATAATAAGGAATTAGCATTTCCTCTGGTGAATGCAAGAAATGGTAGTAAAAGAAGACTATCAATTATCTTTTCGAAAATCTAATGTGTTCCTGTTGTTCTATCCATTCAGATTGCTGTCAACGCCAACATCGAAGACTTACCAGTCAACACTGCAATTCTGCAACTGGGTGGTGCTGACATCTCGGAATGTGATCCATGCGTAAAGAAACTATCCGGAGAGGATCTAAAGTACTATCTTGCAGCCAAAAAATGTGTGGAGGAGTTGGCAGTCTATTTGAAACCATTCTGTTATGGTATGAATTTTTTTTATTTTTCCGAAAATGTCTGTCTTAATCAGGAAATTATTACTTCTTTTATGGGCCCAGCAAGTGCCTGCGAAAATTTTGCTAACCTATTTACTGCAATGCATTGACTATAATGAAGTATACAAAACATATTGAAAGCTAAAATTTTACATCAGAAAAATTTCTAAACGAATTAATAAAAAGAAATGAGGGGCTCCCAACAGCCTCATGTGATCCAAAAAAAATTGCGGATCCAACATTTCATGGACCTGGAAATATTCTTTTGTACTTTTTTGAAACATTTCATCAAGGATTTCAAGTAGTTTCTAACAAGAAGGCATAACTTTATTTCAAAGTCAACTACAGAAAGCATGGCGTTTTGTACTCTTAAACGGCATTTACACCCTTCTGTCAGAAGAGGAATGTTTTTCAGTTTGTGTATAGTCTCTAAGTAGAGCAACGTTTCACCGTTCTTTGCTCTTTGTAAATAATTGGAAGTGATGATAGGTGTATGTTATCCACATCACAAGCCTCTCTTAGAATGAAAGACCACTGTCGCAACATTCGACCCTTGTGTTTTGAAACAAATTTATCTGTGGTTTGACCGAAAATCCAATGAAGTCCAATACAGTCATAGAAGGAAAATACATTTTAAGAGCATACTGATGGACGAAGTGTGAAACCAAGTACTTATTTACGTTTGCAAAGTTGCAGACTTCCTGTCATCCTGCATTTTGTCTGGAAAATTACTGAACATACTTTTTTGAAAACTTCCTCAATTTTCTTCCCTGCCAGTAGAATATTCTGTTTAAAGTTCAAGCTACATAGTTGGCTTGCTTCTCTTCGAAAAAATAAAAAGGGAGCTAAAATCATGAGACACTACAATGCAGATACGATTTTTTGCTCTTTACCCATTTATATACAACTAGGGGGCTGCGGCCCAACCTCCCAGAGGCGCTTCGCTTCTCTAATGTGGAGATATTGTTAGATCATTAAGAACATTAAGAGTTGGGGAAAACCCAGTTTGGAGATGGCAGGAAGCATGTGAGCGTGCGCGGCTGGAGGGGAGTGGGAGTGAAGGAGAAACCGGTTTGTGACATTCTTAGCGTGACACCCTCAGCGTGAAACGGCACCCTCATGAGTTTCCACTATAGAGTAAGATTCATGTACAACAAATACTGTTACAACGTTTGACCCATTCATTTGATATCTCTGTTCTTATAAAAATAAAATACACCTCTCTGTAATCGTCAAGCAATTACCTACTCTAAATTTCTTTTCGCAGGGAACAACACTACTTGTGGGACGCTCTCTCGACCAATGCAGCGGAAGCTGGTTGCTCTCATCAGCTGTCAGCTCTTGTTGCAAGATGGGCGTGTCAGGGCATTGCGGGCAGCACGCTCGATTGGAGAACGCTCAGTTACAGACCTCATCTTACAGCATCAAAATCCGCAGCAGCTGTCAGCTAATTTGTGGGCGGCTGTCAGAGCCAGAGGATGCCAGTTCCTTGGACCAGGTGTGTATTCCCTCTTACTCTTGGCATTGATATGTTGAGCGTTACTGTATTGGTGTCCTCCAGTGCATCGTATGCACTGTCATTCTGTGACGTCACGCATATGGGCTTCTTAAGATGGGCAAATGTTTTCCCATATAATTTTGGTCTGTATGCGGTCAGTGCTGGTATAGGGAAAGTCCACACGGCACGGATATATCAGCATGCTTGGGATCACTGTATTGTATTGTCATTACTTACAAGGTTTTTCTCTCTTAAGGAATTGGAAATGGGAACAATTGTGGTTTGTTAAAAACTTATGTCGAAACATGAAATAAAATGACTTAACTCTTTTCATATAAGGTGTGCAAGGTTTTCTTTATGCTGATCATTCATTTTTTACTAATTTCTAAGCTCATTTATTTAAAAATTACAAGTCCATTACAGTGAAAAGCTCTATTTCCATTACTTCATTTCTGTTCACAAGCAGTATATTGACTAACCTTTTAAACCCACTGGAAAGATGCATGGATGTGAAGGCTTTTTACTGCAAATTACTTTCCTTTCAAGCCCAAAAAACATCTTCATTGAAAATAATTCAGGAAGAAAGTAATTTTTAAAGTGAGAACAAGAATGATAGCTATACTGCCGTGCTTAGGAAAAACGCCATATGAACCTTCAGGTGTTGCCAAATTTCCTTTGACAAAACACGAACTTCCTGGTAAACTTATGAATATTTTCCTTCCAATTTTTCAGATTATTTTCTTCGCATTTTTACCTTAAGCCCCTGAAAATTTCAAGAAAAAGTATTCATAGTTTTCCTTAAAAATAAACATATTATCGAAGGAAATTTGGCAACTCGAACGTTCATACAACGTTCTTCCTTAGCATGGCAGTATAGCAGAATAAGGTTTTTAAAATTACCAAATTATAAATGCTCATAAGGTGACAAAGTGGGTAGTGTTTCAGTCGAGTGACTATTTTCAAGAGACCTGATGAATTTAATATTTCCTGAATCACATTTTAAATATCAATAAATACCGGTATAGATTTTCAGCTCTCGAGCTACAGTTTCCCTTCGAATAAGGACTAAAATTTTCCTTTTTTTTTTCTTTATTCAATTTTGCAGCAATGCAAGAAGAAGTGCTGCGTTTAGTCCTACTTGCACTGGAAGATGGCTCAGCACTCTCACGGAAGGTCCTAGTGATGTTCGTCGTGCAAAGACTGGAGCCCCATTTTCCGCAAGCCTCCAAAACATCGATTGGGCATGTGGTGCAACTACTGTACCGAGCATCTTGCTTCAAGGTCTCGAAACGCGATGGGGATTCCTCCCTCATGCAGCTCAAAGATGAGTTCCGGACTTATGACGCTCTGCGGCGGGAGCACGATGCTCAAATTGTGGAGATCGCCACCGAAGCTGGCCTTCGAATTGCCCCGGACCAGTGGTCAGCTTTACTGTACGGCGATGCGGCGCACAAATCCCATATGCAGAGCATCATTGATAAACTTCAGTCTCCTCAGTCATTTGTTCAGGTACTTTTTCTTACTTTTTAATGGAAATCTTCCAAGTTCCTAAAGTGGGATTACGTCCCCCCCTCCTGAAGTATGCACTACATTAATTGAATTGAATTTTGCAAAAAGGTACAAAGAGCAATCTAATTTTGCTAAGATTGCATAACTTTTTTTACCTTGCAAATCTATACTATAATATAAACTAATCATACATCCTAAAGTGCACTGGTATCTCAATTTTAATCGCCTTGTATATCTATTTCTGAGAAAAAAAAAAAAACCTCCAGCAATGTCTATGTATCAACACTTCTTTCATTTTGGTTTCAGTCGGTTCAAGAGCTGATAATTGCGCTGCAACGAACAGGTGACCCAGGGAACTTATCTTCCCTGCGGCCGCATCTTCAAGTTTTGGCATCCCTTGACCCTAGCCCTGAGAACAACTCTTGTGAATGGAGCTTGCTGTGCAGTGCTCTGGAAAGCACGCTGGCGGTCGTAGCCGGGCTGTCGGAATTTGTTCGTAACCACGGAAACCGGAAGGCAAATGAGCAGCAGGCCTCGCCAGCAGCTGTTCACGCTGGCAAGTACAAAGTGAGCCTGTGTCGGGATCTATCCCTTCGTGGCTCATGTCCGAGAGGCGATAACTGTACGTTTGCGCACTCAGAGGATGAGCTTGACAAGTGAGTGAAATTTCATGTTTATGTGACAATAGCTCAATACGCTTGTAGTTGTCATATTGAATAAAGTAGGGTTGCCACAGTCAGGGAAAACCAGGAAATGTCAGTGTCGGAATAAAAGAGTTTTTACTAAAATTGCTTCGGCACCAATTGATTTTGCGTCAGATTCAACAAACTGTCGAGGGATAAGTGTTGAGGAAAAACTCGTGAGTTCTTGATTTAACTTGTATTGAAAAACTTTTTTTAAAGAAATCACAGTTTCACAAAAAGGTAGAAAGTCAGAAGTCATACAAGAAGCACCGTAAAAGAGAGAGAATGGCACGACTATAGTCTTGCTGACGTCACGGGTAGTGAGACAACAAGCCTACGCGTGATTGGTTGGCTATAGTCTATGTAGGTATCAGCTGCAAGTCTAGTAATTAAATTTATTGGTGATTATTGAAGATGGTTGGAGAATAAAGACTAAAAGTTAAAAAGTGGACTGGATCCAACCATCCCAAATAAGACTAGTGAGAGTTAAATGAAAATTTTAAAATATGAGGGAAAAATATGAGAAGGTGTTGACAGTCAGGGACTTTTAAGAAGTCAGGGAAAACCGGGAAATGTCAGGAAAAATGACAAAAATGTTACGGAAAATTTAATGGGCTTGAGGTTTCAAACGACAAATTTTGCCCAAAAACTATTTCCAGTTATGCCTTCTTAACCATCCGTCACATCTTCAATTGTCAGGGAATTCCACCAAAATGTGTCAGGGAAATCAGGGAAATGTCAGGGAATTTCATTTTCTAAATTCTGTGGCAACCCTGATAAAAGATAAAGAGAAAAAAAGATGTGACTCGGTGGGAAGGAACCTTAGAGTGTGGATGGAAATGCTTTGGATTAAATCAGTGAAGTCAGTTAGGTCAAGTCAGGTTAAAAAATTAGAAATTTATTTAATGATTAAAAACACTTGCCAGTATCCCAATAAAACAAGTTGCAAGCAGTTTTGTTCATTTTAGTAAAGACAGGGCACGAAAAAGGTCCCTAGCCAAGGTATGATAAATAGCTTTGCGCAACATATTTCTTCGAAATTTCAGGAGGAAAATTAATCACACAACGATGAATTTGGAAATCAACTTCTAAACAAGAAAGCAGCGTTTACAATCAATATTTGTCAAAAAGCAAAAATACCAATGAAGTCATTCGTTTAATGTTACTTCCATTTGGTCTGTGTTTAAAATATTTGTTGATATCTTGTTCAGGAGTCGATTGAAAAAATTTCCGTTTTATGCATTGTTTTCTGTGTAAGATTTTGAAAAATATAAGTGAATTTTCTTCAACAACGTTCTTTTCTAGTTCGGACCTTGTCCAGTGGTCCATTGTATAATAATACGATAATATTAGTTATTCTTACCTACAAGCCTTTTTCTCAAAGAGCAAATAACCTTTTTCAATGAAAATGGGGTTTTTTTTCAGCTTTTTTTCAGGCACTCTCAGTTATGTGTTGAAGCATTGAGGGAATGGAGGTAGGCTAATCTCATGTAATTTAATAGAGGGGGTCAAAAAGTCACTTAAAATGCATAATCCCAATGTATTATCCTTTGACTTTGGTTCGTTCAAATATTTAGGATCCTTGCTACTTTAAATAGTTATCGAAGTATGAGCGCAGTATTGATATTTTGCTCTTTTTTTCAACAGGTATAGGACAAAACACAAAAAACCATTTCTACGAAGCTCTGGGGGCGCTAAAGATGAAGACTTTGGTATTAATAATTTCTCTTTTAGTAATGAAGGTAAGGTGATTCGGAAACTTAGTATGAAAGAAAATATTTTTTAACTTTTGATTGTTAGTATTTTTGTGGTAGAATGTACACCAAATGACTCTAATCTTTGCCCTCAAAACTTTCCTTAAAATAACCTAGTAGACCAGTATTTCTTGGAAAGTATTTTCTTCTTAGAAATACTGTTCGGAATAAAGAAGGAGGAAGGGATACAAAGAGTATCAAATTTATTCTTGAGAATTTTTAATAATTCTAAGGCCTTGTCCACACGAGCGCGATTCGCAGAACTTAGTTCCAAGAACTTAGTTCCAGGAACTTATTCCTCCAAAACCCGGAACTTCCCCCGTACTCCGAGCTTCTACATATGTTTCTTTTGATGTGAATTTGTTTGTTTTTGTTATTTACGTCCTTTACATGTCTTGACATTTATTTTTGTTACTTTGACGGCCGTAATAATCTATTATTCTGCAATAATTGTATAGTTTTATTGAAGTTCCGGTTCCAGTTCGGGCGAACTTGTGTGGACAGCATGCCTCATTTCAAGGAACAAGTTCCGGGAACTGAGCAGTTTGTCGAATAAGTTCCTTGAACCACGCTCATGTGGACCGGGCCCAATATCACTCGGAATTTTTTTTTTTTTTGTATTTTTTAACCAATACCCAACTCCAGGAATTTAGTTAACTTTTAGCCTTCTCATTTTTTGATGGGCCTTCCCTTTTCAAAAGCCCAGTCCCCCCGCCCCCCAAAGGTTCAAAGTGATGATTTTTTTCCTTTCTTTCTTTCTTTCTTTCTTGTGAAAATTGCTACAATTCTTCAAGAAATGGCAATTTTCTTGCTGGTGCAAGCCAGCCCTCCTATTTTTGCACATGACCAATGTGACTTGCTGGTTGCATTGTCGAAGTTTCTGGCCCCTTAAATTACTTTATTAAGAGAAAATGTCCAGAATAAATCTAAATAGATTAAAAGTTTTCATTTTGCCCTATTACCTCCGGCATTAAAACCTCCCTCTTATTCCAATTTGTTACAGTGGGAGGTATGATAAGGAATGAAGGGACTAATTTTGTCATGAATAATCCTCCGCCTTCGGATCAACTTCCTTCATACTTATCAGAAGTTTACAGGTATGGTTCTATTAATACTCAATAATTTATTTTACTGAATTCCAAAGAGTTCAGAAAAAATCACCACCATCCTATCAGAGGCAATTTTAAATTGTTTCTACTGCAACGTCAAAGAGCTAATCTAACAGTAAGCCATTAAAAATGCTTCAAAGTTCAAAACATTGATAACGCATTGATTAAAAATGGAAAATAGCTGTTTTGTATCATACATTAAGGATAGTGTTTTATTTAGAATAGACAACTTTTATTTTCTGCTTGCAATCTTCATCACTGGAAAAATACCCCATCAAGAGAGGTATCTTTGAGATGCTTGAACCATTGATGCACAACAATTTTTATGTGGTTCTGCGCCGGAAAAAAAGTTAACTTTGACTTGATTACAGGCTGATGTTAGCACCAGTAAGAAGTGTGGTTGTGCAAGACAAACGTATGGTTCAATCAGCCTTAAATCTGATTGACTTGACCATACTTCTGGCCGGTATCAGCTAGGAACATAGTTGAAATTATTATACTTTCTTTTCTGTGTATTGAAACGCTTTGTTTCTGAACAATTGTTTGCTTATGTTAATTGAACCGATTATTTTCGAAATCACCCAAGTGCCAAACTTACAAATGCAAAAAAAACAAGACAAATCGTTTTATTGGCTTGGCTTGGCTTTGTTGACAATCTTTGAATTCCAAAAAAATTGTGTTTTCTTAGAGGGCTATTTTCAAATCAGACATGGATGATTACACCAGAAAAACAATCTCTCTGCCACCAACATAGAGATTGTTGCTTTTGTGATTTGAAAAATAATGGTTTCAATTATTTATCATGTTTTATTTTCTAAAATTATAGATCGCAGTCGATATTATATCTTTTTCTCTAACTGTTCGGGTTCATTTCTCTTTCATTATCTTGTTAGATGAAGAATAGCCCTTGATTTTGTCATGTTTTTAAAACTTCAGCCTATGAATGGAAATGTTCTATTTTGCAGTCATAGTGTGACCCCCCACAGTGTGGTTGTGAGCAGTCCAGGGGAGCAAGTATACCTGCCCCGTGTGGACTATGGAACACCAGCTCCATTAACGGAGCACTTACCAATCGAACACGCTCGCCAGCAACTTACTCGGACAAAACCAGTCATGTCCAGCTCACCAACGCCAGCTAAGGTTGATATATTTCTGCTTCTGTTTGCTCCAGTAGAATAATCCTTTACCAGTAAATGTAAAATTAATTTAGTTTTTTCGGAAATAGATTCTTTAAGAAATAGATTTTTTTCTAAAAAGTTAAAATCTCTTCGGAAGCCTGAAATTGGAAGAAGTTTGACTGAACATTGGACAGAGTGCTGCTCAGTAGCTTTCTGTTCATTCGCCATAGAGCATCCATTATACTACTGTGCGAAGGACAGGGTTGCCACAGTCAGGAAAAACCAGGAAATATCAAGGAATTTTAAAAAGTCAGGGAAAACCGGGAAAACAATAAAAATGTCAGGGAAAATTTGTTAAATCACCTTCATTTGCTTTCTAGATAAGGGTTTGAGGTTTTGAACAACAAATTTTGCCTGAAAACTATTTTCAATTATGCCCTCTGAACTCTGCCATCCGTCACATCTTCATTTGTCAGAGAATTTCACAAAAATGTGTCAGGGAAATGTCAGGGAATTTCATTTTCTAAATTCTGTGGCAACCCTGTAAGGAAGAACGCCATATGAGTCTGTAGATGTTGCTAAATTTCCTATGATAGCACACAAATTTTCCGGAAAATTAGTTAATTTTTTTCTGCCGATTTTCCAGACGATTTGTTTGCAATTCAATCTAAAATATCTGATTTCAAGAAAAAATATAATTTTTCTCAAAAATTCATTTTTTATCTGGGAAAATTTGGCAACCCTGGAATGTTCATCTGGCATTTTTACTCAACACAAGGGTATAACAGTCACTATGGAGCGTGTGAAAAATAATACAAAAGCCTAACCAAAAACATGAATGAAAATTGTGTATGCAAGACTCAAATGCAAATGAATTAACTAATCATTCTGCTTTTATTTTTGTTCCTCTACAGGTGCAAAAGGTCTCCTCTGAAAATTTAATGGGTCTTCAGACGCGACAGACACAACCTGTCAGTGAACAGTTTATCTCCAAATGTAGAGTGAGTAATTTTAAATCATTTTTAAGCAGAGTTTCACGCACTTGAAAAATAATCAGTTGAATCAGCAGTAGTTTTAAAATCCATTCGTCACATCATGAATGTGTTTAAGCACTCAGAGTGAATGTAACCAAATTGAAAAGTTGTGACAGAGATATGAAAGATAAAGTGTAACTTTTTTGCAGTGAACCAAAAATAGATGACGATTCTGGATTGTTGTTTTGTATCTTTTTGTTTTGTATCAATGAATGACGAATGAACATGCTGACAAACGCTTTGTAATGCAATTGATATGCCTGTCACTACCCAATTCCTCAAAACTTCTACTCCTTCGAAACTTTCACAGTATTGGAAGAAGGGTTCAAAGGCTCATACTCAGACTTCCCAATTTGGAAAGACTTCATTTTATTTTTTTTAAATCAAAAGTCGTCGCAATAATATTTCAGTATTCTTACTCATTTTTTTTTTCTCTTTACCAGGAAGTCCCAATATACTCCACACAAGATTTTACTGGACTTTCTCATCCGCAACGACACCTGTATTACCGGTAAAAAATTTATCTCATTTATTGATCTTTTTTCCTTGTCTCTTTGAACTATTGAAAGATCAGAAAAAATTAAGAATGGAACATTTTTCCCCTCACTGAAGACTTTGAATGTGGAAAAATCAATTCACACAAATTTCCTCAGTTTTTACTGTAGCATCCCTTATCATAGGCAGTAATTCTTGTTTTAAACATTTTCTTGTGAAGCGCCTTTGAAAAGAAATAGCTTCCTAAAATTTATCAGGGAGCACTCTTTGTCTGCAAAAGTCGGAGCAAACTTTTATCAGACGAATATGAAAATAAATGAAGAAGACTCAATTACTCTTGAATTTTCACGCATTTTTTACTTTTTTTGATGGAAACTCTCTCATCATAGCACAACCGACAATGGTATTTCTTCAAGGGAATTAAAACCTATCTGTCCTTAAAATATTGCATTCTAATTAGCATTTCATCTCTTGCAGTACAACTTCAGGTGGTGACGATGAGTTTGTGCCGTTTGATCCTCCGATTGTAAGCAAGTATGGGCCGATCTCGCGTTCGGTGAATCCAACACAGTCATTTCATAGCATGTCGGATACTGCTACGGGTTCAACACAAGGACTGAGGAGTCCTGTTGCATCTTGGTATTTCAATCCTCCCCACGGTAAGAACTTTGTTCGATGCATTATTCAATAGAAAGTGAAGCAATGGGATTAAAAAAGTTTGTCTTTCAGAAACCAAAACAAAGTCTAGTGAGGACTGAAAAAGGTGCAAAAATCATCAAAGATTTTTCTCGAAGAGGCTCAAAGATCACAAAAAATTCACCAAAGAAGACCTTCCACAAAAACGAAATTTACTTAGTTGAGTTGTATTTTGTTCGAAACATCAAATTGTTTCTGTTTTTTTTTCTTGTTTCTTTTGCGTGATTCTGAACAACAAATTAGAAAGCTAATTCCAATTTTAGTTTAGAAAACAGCGTTGGCTTGGGCAACAAAATAAAAACAACTTGCCTCTGAGCACGTTGCAGTTGTTGTACAACAATGTTGCTGTAGGGGTTCCCAAATTTTGCTCACAAAAATAAGCCCCACCCCCACAACACAAAACAACTTCGAAAAAAATGCAATTTTCGCTTGTTTTCCCAACATGTTGCGAGTGTTGCCTTGGAACAAAATATGGCTTTGCTCTCCAACATTTTTTGGAAAACCAAGATATATGTCAACAGTTTAATTCCTTAAAACACACCCATGCTGCTATTTAAAATTCCTTTGTTACCGCATTTCAATATTACCATTCTAATAAAAGTTTCATGTTGAAAAGCAAATTAAGTATTTCCTTGAATTTCTCAAGAAGTTTCTTGTGGAGTCAATATTTTAAACGCAGAGAAGAAAAAAGTCATAAAATTTTCAAGAAATGATGTCCGATCACAGGGTTCCAACAGTCTGGAAAACCTAGAAAGCTAGGGAATTTATAGCAACCTGGAAAAGTCAGGGAATTTTGCAAGAAGCGTTTGCAAAAGTCAGCACCATGGAAAGGGAAAATTTAGGCGGAAGTTTTGTTAGAAAGTCAGAGAATTGGAAAATGGAGAAATTATTGAAACCCGCTAGTTTTCCCTTTGAATGTGTGATAGAAATTTTTTCCATTGCCAATAGTAGTACCTGCTTTTGTATATTCTTCAGTATGTGTATTTGTTCAGCCTATATGCTGCCGTGTTAAGGAAAAAAGCCGTATGAACCTTCAGGAGTTGCCAAATTTCCTTTGATAAAATACGAATTTCCTGGTAAATTTATGAATATTTTCCTCTCAATTTTTCAGATAATTTAGTTCGCAATTTTACCTATATATTCTAAAAATTTAAAGAAAAATATTCATAGATTTTCTAAAAAACAAAAACTTTTTTGAAAGAAATTTGGCAACTCTCGAATGTTTATACGGCGTTCTTCCTTAAAATATACTCCATGCACATAGTGTTCCAATTTCACCGGGCGTAAAATACTAAGTGTGCCTGAAAGTGAGGATTTCGTGCCTAAAAACTCAGAGCTCTAGCCACATGTGGTGACAGAAAGACGTCAGATATAACTTGCTGGGAATTTTTGACGCAGTCATAGCCTATCACTCTCAATGCAGGTGTAGTAAGGTTTAGTTTGAGGCAGGAACGAAATTAAAAAGTATCACGCAAGCAAAAATTCATCTCACGTTCATGTTTATTTTCATCAGGTTTGCCAGCTGCTGCGCACATCCTTCCACCACCACCAGGAGGAGTTGCTGAAAGTTACATCACAATAGGACATCACCCAATTTTTGACGCTCCTCATCTATTCATAGGAAACGTACAAGATAATTTGCCCAAAGAGTAAGTTTTCATTCATTGCATGCAATCTTTTTTTCAGTTTGTATCCCATATGGCATGTTATATTTACAAGATCACTATTATAAAATTCAATGAAAAAAAAGCTTACTCTACAGTTATTTGCAGTTTCATGACAAATTTGAACTGAAGATAGATAGTAAAATTTAGATATTATTTCTAAAGATTTCAGTTTCTAGATTCAATTTACTGGTTTTGTAACTGCCTCTGTGTATTGACAAACAATCTATTTCGGAATGATCTGGCCTGGTAGGAAGAGCTTTGTTTCCTCTATTTTTTTTTTTTTTTTTTTTAACATTTATACTGTGCATTAAATCAATGTAGAAACCACAGAAATGTGTATCACAGTTTGCAGCATTGCTGACTGCCTGTCACTTTCTTTTCAAAGAAGAAAACCACAAAATGATGCTTTTTAGAAGAAAAAAAAATTACCCTCTTTAGTTGAGGAATATTCTGTAAAAATTACAAGTCATAACCTTGGTTTGGTCATTTTTAAAAATTAAAATAGGAGCAGAGAGTTTGACCAAAATGGAGGTACGCATTTCTGTAGTTCCACCATTGAAATATTGGTTTATGATCACCTCCTTTTTCCAAACCACACACAATATAGAACTGTTATCAAATGGTGAGTGCATGTCAAAGGACGATCTCCAGACCTTGCTCATAAAAATGATACGCAATGTCAATAGACAAAAAAAATAAAAAAAAAATATATAAAAATAAAAAATATAAAAAAATATAAAATAAATATATGTAATTAAAAAATATATAAAAATGAAGAAACCTAAGTCTATATTTTAAATAAAATTATCTTGATATTTAATTAAAACTAAATAAAATCAAATAAAATAAAATGATTAAATTAATATACAATCTAGATCTGTGTCTTAGTTTTGATCAACTTATTTTGTGTTTCAGTTTGAGAGTCGAATCACAGAAAGTCAAGAATCAGCTCCGCAACCTAGAAAAAATGATCACAGATTTAAAAGTAAGTGTGTTGAATCTCTTGCTTTCCAAGGCTCAACTTTAAGATATTCCAATTATTACGCCCTGAAGAAAAGGATTTCTTTCCTTAAAATATGTCTGTGGAGTATCAAAGTACAAAAAAAGTATTGCTCTGTATTTTATGAGGGTTTCCCTGTCAATAGAGCTCTGCAGAGGGCTTTTTCGTGCATTTTCTTGCAAAACCATCGTGACCCCTGATCCTGTTCTTGGCACCATTGCAGAGGGCTTTTTCATGAATTTTCTCGCAAAACCATCGTGACTCTGTTCTTGGCACCATGGCATTTTTAGGGTTTCTAACAGTTTAAGGAACCTAGAAAGTCAGGGCATATACGGTGACTGGAAAGAGTCAAAGAATTTTAAGAGAAGTGTGTCGACTCAGCAACTTCAGCTGATGCCATTAGAGACAGCGCAAACAATTTTCAAGTGACTTTTCCCGTTCGTAATTTGAATCTGAATGCTGGTAAGAAAGTATCGGAGTATCATTCTCTGAAGCCCATCAACAGATAATTTGCAGGTGTCTGAAATTTGATGAATTTCGTGTTTAAGTGGAAGCTACTGGGTGAACTGAACACGAGAATACCCTTGGTTCATTAATTGAACAACTATGGGAGAAGATATGATAAAATTATCTAATCTGCTAAAATACATGTGTTTAAATGGGAAATGCTGCCAGATGACGTCACTAGGCGGTGCATTTTCTCACTTTTAAATCTATTTTTATACCATTTCCCATAACAAAAAAAAATTATATAAAATACTGTGATCTCAGCTCTTTAAGCACTTTCGGATGAAGCAATAAAACATTTACATGCAAATTCTCCACTGTGTTGAATCAGTGAAAGCTGGGCTCACAATGATCCATTATCTAGGAATGAATCAATTTATCATTAACTGACAAATTTTGAAACAATTGCAGCTAGCTACACAAGGAGGAGCCATGAATGATCGAGAGACGCTCAATCAAGAGCTTCAATTAATTGAACAAGGAATCAAGGAAAAAGAGAAAGAATTAAGACTGGTGAGTTCTTACGTCATGTACAAAACTTTCTTCCAGAGTAAGGGAAAGACCAAGCTAGCAAAAAGTACAATAATTTTAATGCGCATATCTGTTTGGATTGCTATGTATTTTTAACTTTTGCCCATTTCTGAGAAAGATTTTTTTAGTCGACAAAAATTTCAAATATGCCCTCTTAAAATTTTCTGCTATGAGGCCTGCGGGCTGATTGTTGAAACTGATAGACATAGCAATAGACAAAGAAAACGGAAAGGATATGGAGGGATCCTATCGGTGGAAGCGGGTGGTTGTAATGGACAAAAGACACAGGTAATAGACAAACTAACGGCAACCCACGAGAGACCCGAAAGTTAGTCTATCATTTAACCCCTTAGTCTATAAGGACCACCCATTACAACCAACAGGATCGCTCCATACTCCCTAAGTCCTCTTTGTCTATCGCGTTGTCTATCAATTTCAACAATCAGCCCGCTGGTCGATGTAATGCCCATTTTCTTGAATATTTTCTCAGATTGATTTTGATAACAATACATTAAAACCCTTAAGAGCCGTTTGTTAAATAGTACATTGATAGAAACAATTCCTCATCTCCCTCATGAAAGAACAGAACAACCTTTCAGTGTTGCCAAAGTTCCCCTCGCAAATTCCATTTTTATCAGGGGAATCTTGGGCATTTCTAACCAAAAATTCCACCGATTTATCTTCAGATCTCATGCAAAAATCAGAAAAAATTTGAAGAGAAATTGATGCATTCTTGTAAAAAATTGAAGTCTTTGAGGTAATTTTGCAACCTTGGAAGGGAGTTACCTTCCTTCATGCAGAAACTATGTATTTTCCGAAGAAACTGAAACTAAAACATTTATGGGGTTACTAGCCGTTCTGGGCGCGCTTCGCGCGCCCGTCACGCCTAGCCGGGGGCTACGCCCCCTGGACCCCCAGTCACTCGCTGAG